AACATTATTAATATTGATTTAAGCAATGCAATCAGTATGTCAAAGCTTTTAACACTTGTGTACTTAACAGCTTTAATGAAGGAAAGAACAACGGTTCCATTATCGAGTATGATGATATGATACGCTGTATTAAAACTGTTGAAAGTAACTAGACGGTGTCATGGCTGATAATTACCAGTAAATTGTTTTGTAAAAGATTTACCATGAATAACACATGGTCTAGATTTGCATATATTGTATTGTAGATTTAGAAACAATAAAATTCAAATTTATTGCAAAATAAGCATACCATTCTCAGCATATATTAAGTACACCCCTCACAAATTTATCTTTTGAATTCATATTTTTAATAGGAAGCTTTACAATATTATATTTTTGCATATAGATTAGTCAGTACTGAAATCAATTCTGAAGCTTATCTAACAAAATAACCTAGATAATGATCAAAAAACTAGTACAAACAAATTTATATGTTATTAAAAAATATTGAATACAAATTTAAAGAAAACTAAAATATTTGCTATATATATAGCAAATATACATATATATTAGAGGTGTGAACCTATACTGGTTTCAATTCGATTTCACGGTGCATTGACGATGCTTTCCATACACAGTGTTATATTTTCGGTGGAGGCTATAACAAGCTGTCTGTATAAACACACAGACACACAGCACCACACTGTCTCTCATCCACACACATACACAAACATAGACAGCACCAAAGAAACAAACACACACACACACATTTAAGCCCTCGCAATATGTGTTTAGCCGAGAGATCTAGTGCTGAGCGGAGCAATAAAAAATTTAAAAAATTAAAAAAATAAGCACTTTTCAGACTGTCCCTTACTGAGAGCTCTGCTCTGCGCGAGCTCCCCCGGCTAAACGCATATTGCGAGGGCTTAAAGCAGGGCAGTGGTCGGAATGTCGAGCGGAAAAAAAAGAAAAGAAAATGACAACTGTGAAACATAGCCAGCTTTGTCTTTTTGTAGGAAACACACTTCAGATCTTTTTAGGGTAAGAGGTTTTTGAGTTTTTGCCGCTATAACTTAATTTGTCAGGAATATCGATAACAAAACCAACTTAACCGCGCTCATTTCTAGCGCCCCCCTGGATGTACAGCGCCCTTAGCTTGTGACTATATTGCCTATGCCACGGGCCGGCTCCGAGTTGGCTCCTGAGTGTTGTAAATACCGGCAAAACAAAAAAATATATATATATTTGCAAAACATTTTTAAAGCACTGCCTTTACAAAACCAGTCCAGTCAATTGCAATGCTCATCTTGAGTTGCTTTTTAGTCAACCGTGAGTTTGCAATGCTGTTTTACAATGGGACTGAGTGAAGGGAACTTGAGAGTTTATGGCAGGCCTGGACCTACTGGGCTGTAAAGGCAAATCATATAACTGCATTTAGCATTGACACGTAATGCAAGCTCTGTGATTGATTGGCTTGGTAGCGCTGACAAGTGTGAGCAGGGATCGAGAGCCGCGCGAACCCGTTGCAGCGAGTGTTGAGTCCCCTGAAGGAGGTCCAGATGGAAGGTTTTGTTTTGTGTTTACCTTATGATTAAAGTTGTTGCACGTCCGCTGGTTCTTGCTCCAAATTGAGTGAGTATGAGCTACTTGTACATTTAAGGTAACGTTCAGAAAAAAACAAAACACCAGCAAAGAAACTCTACACAGAGGAACATAAAAATCTCACTTTCAGCTAGCGTTTCGAAAGTGCTATTGCAGAGTAACACAAACAGCATGCAGAAGTATAAATGCATGACAATGCGCAAAGCTTGTGCTGTGGGTCACGCCGATCACTCGGCACAGAAGTATTATCCTGGCTTAAGACTACCCTGGTGATACTGTGTCTCCAGGTGATGACGTCGTTTAAATGGAGACAGTTCCCTTGACTACACCCGCTTGTCAAATCTTTTAGTTTTTATGTCTCAAAACTTAATTTTCCATTCGCAGTTCTTTATTTTTGTTATCAAAATACATTTTTATTTCTCAATTAATTTTCACTGTGCAAATTTTTAATTTATTTTATTAATTTTTTTGGGGATTTGTATTTATTTATTTATTTTTTGTTTGCAAAACTTTCTTTTATTTTAAAAGGGATATATGACCCTATATTATTGACTCCATAGTGTTTACATAAGACTGTAGTTTTAAAATTTTTTGCACTAGCTTTGAAAATGATCTTTGATTTAATTGCTTTAATATGAGTCTTTCTATTGAAAAAAATCTAAGGGGTAAAAAATATACAAAAAATGTAACTAATAATTTATTCTTGCCGTTATCAGGATCTTGATTTATGTTGCTTTGCTGCTATTTAGTTATTTATTATTTTACTGCTTTTACTGACACATGTAACTGTTTAAATATATTCTCATTAATTTGGTTCTACTGACTTCTTACTCACATGTGAAGCCCACTACAGCAACTAGAAGTGTATTCTCGTGATCCTGCCACGTTTCCTTGGAGACTCCGATATTTGCCCTCCCCATCCCTCTGTTACCAGGACGACATGAGACTGAGATCCGAGCAGATATCTGCAGGCAGAATCCAAAGTTGTCAAAGATAAAGTACACCAATCAATAAGAGCGTATAGACAGTTTGATAAAGATTAGTTGAGGAGAAATTGAGTCAACCAGTCATTAAACTATATGTCATGCTTTTCTGTAAAAGCAGTGTTCAGACCAGTCATTGATTCATACAGGTTTTTGGTTCCTCCCATACTTGTATATTTGGTTACATCCTTTCACATAGCCTTAGTGTATTTTTAGTGAGGATCTGTTGCTATTGTCTTCTGTGACTTGTCTTGATCTTCTCGTCTTGCAGATGTCCTGAAGTGTGACTCTCTGTAATGGATTTGTATGGTGTATTGCAAGCTGCTTTCCAAACAGTTCTTGTGCAAAATATCCAGTTCAAACTTCAAACTAACTGAACCCAATCACCCGATGCAATATGTTACAGGAAAACTTGTGGTCAAGGTTGCTGGGATATATGCATATTATTCAATATCTCAGATGCCATTCTTGCATTAGTTAATTCCCAGTGGTGCTATAAAGGGAGTAGAGTTAGTACACATTAATGATTGCTGTGGTCTTTAATAGCTTGCATGCAATGGATGCATAGACAGTTGGACTTGGTGATTTAATAAATATATGCAATTTAATCCTAATGATTTTTTTGTGTGGTGAATATTGAACATCATGATGGTTTTAATGTTCTTTAATGTGCATTTCCTAAACATCTTATCATTCTCTTTGGGATGCATTTTTGCTCAGAGGCTCTTTTTCATACCGACAAAGTATTTGTAGGTAAACACTGCTTATTATTATAGTTGAATATGAAAATGACTGGCTTATTTGCTATATTTTTTTATATGTATTTTTTTTTATTTTGTATTATTTTTTATTATAATGTTAGCATTTTTCAAGTTTAGTTTTTTAAAATTATTTTGTGTATTTATTTTTCATAAAGAAAATTAAGAAGGATATTGTTCCCCTAAAAATGGTCAGGGTTGGATAATAGACATAGATAGAGGCATAGTTATAGATAGACCAACAGATAGATAAACATATAAATGGAGAGATGGATAAAGTTTTTTTTTATCTTAGAGTTATATTATTTTGTTAAAAAATGTTTATCTATCTATCTATCTATCTATCTATCTATCTATCTATCTATCTATCTATCTATCTATCTATCTATCTATCTATCTATCTATCTATCTATCTGTCTGTCTGTCTGTCTGTCTGTCTGTCTGTCTGTCTGTCTGTCTGTCTGTCTGTCTGTCTGTCTGTCTGTCTGTCTATATCCATCCATCCATCCATACACCCACCCACCAATCAATCCACCCATCCATCCGTCCACCTGTCTATTTGTCTACCAACCCACCCACATACTCTTCCATCCATCCATCCAATTATCCATTTAACTACCTACCCACCCACCTACCTACCGACCTACCTATCTAATATCTATATATATATATATATATATATATATATATATATATATATATATATATATATATATATATATATATATATATATATATATATATATATATATATTATTATTATTATTATTATTATTTATTTATTTATTATTTATTATTTATTTTTTTTCTGTATCACCCAGCCCTAGGAACAACTACCATTATCAAGGATTGATTTCACATGCCTTTAAGCCACTATCATCACTCCTTTGACTAAGCAGGTCTCATATGTCTGGCATTTAAATGTCTCATCAAACTGATCAAATCCTGGTGAACAGATAAGGCTTTGTGTTTGTGTACAGAAGCCCTTATCCATGTTGTCACCTTTATTTTACTGGAACAGGAATAGAATGCTGCTATGGAAACGATTGTTATTAATATAAATACATTCTTTGTCCAAGAACTTCGAACTGAACTTGTAAACTTGTAACGTAGGATTTTTTTGAAAGTTCCCTTGGCTTTGTTAATGTTTTTCTTAATTACAGGTTAATTAAGGGATAACTCACCTAAAAACTGAACATTTAGTCACCATTTAGCCACTTGAGTGGTCAATTGTTTTATATTCAATCCACCTTAAGTTTGTAAAAACTAATAGGTTAATTTAATTCCTTCATGTTGTTCCAACATAAATTGATTGTATGTATTAGTGTAGTAGAAAAAGCAATACACTGGTAGTCATTGGCTTCTTCTAACATTCCTCAAAATATCTTCTTTTGTGTTCACCAGAAACTCAAACAGGTCTTATAGTAATGAATTTTATTTTTGGATGAACTATCCCTCCATTTAAAACTCATTCGTTAATTAACACAACTCTATGTTGTAAACTGCAGTCAGTCGTAATCAATTCATGCTGTCTGGTAAACAGGAGATAAATCTTGTCCTTCCTGCCGTGTTTTCAGCATGACCCAGTTGTCCTTTAAGGTTGTCTGAAGCGCAGTGCTGAAAAGCCAGATAATGGCCTGTATCTCGTTTCTGACGTGACTTTCTCTCCGTCTTGCAGTACAGCCAGTAACTCTCCACGCAGCACACCCGGCAGCTCGCCCTCCTTACGCCGGCGTGTGTTGGGAGGCAGAGCCAGTGAAGGAGAGACGGCGGGAGAAAAAAGCGGTGGCGGTTCAGACAGCCCTCTGCCTCCCACTCCATCCTCATCCACCTCCTCCTACCCCCTCGCTGCACGTCACTTCACCCGCAATGCCAAGGTAAACCTCAATATCAGCTGTCGGATGATTATCACGTGTTGAAATGTCTGATCGAGCATTTGCTCTCCCACCCACATTCCACATTGCTAAAAAAAAATGTTCTGTTCAGGGTGAATAAAGCAGAAAGAATGCCAGTGTTGAAACATTTGCTTGGATATTGTTATGAAAGATATGCTTTTTTTAAAAGTAACAAATCTTTTTTTTGATATGGGTTTAAAGTTTAACACATGCATATGAAGAGGATCCAAAAATCAGTTTGCTTCAGGAATCTTGTATTTCCGTATTAGGTATTGTCAATATCAGTTTAGTTTGGATTTGTTTATTAATGAGAAATGGCAAATGGGATGAAAGTATAAACAACAAATTGTATGAAGTAAATCCATTTGTGAATAAAATAATTGATTATTATTTTAAAAGTAGACGTGATTGGTACATATTGGGGTTGTCACAATATCATCAATTTAGGCCACGATAATATGCCAGCTGAAGTTTCATGATACCAAGTAGTGTCATGATAATTTATTAATTCATTACTCAAATCTATGAAACAAAGCAGATTGTCAGAAATACTATAATGCTTATTATCAAATTATGAATATTTTACTTTTGTTTAACAGTTTGGGCCGTGGAAAAATAGAGACTTTTGGTGCACATCACTTGACCTCAAATGTTGTTTGTTTTTTCGTTTATTTTGTAGATAACTGAAAAAAACAAACAAAAAAAACATTAAAATTAAGATCAAAATTAAACCAAATTAAATAAGTTACAATAGATTTTCTTAACAAAAAATATATATTGAAAAACTATTGTTTTCTTAGTGTTTCCTGTAGCTATTGTTTGTTTTTCTCATCTGTTTTTTTTTTTTTTTTTTTTGAGTTTCATAAAAAATTTCACTTTACTGAGTTGTTCTTTTTAAGAGATTGTCGTGGTCGTTGTAGCTAAATCATATTCACAGGAACAGAAATAACGGATTCAGATGCGTGTTTAAAGCATCAGAAAACACCGTTTCTACACAGTTTTGCAGCCTTAATCCAGACTATTAAATAAAATAAAGTGTTCTTGTTTTTTTGCCGGCACAAATGTGTGAAGATTTTAGTGACTTTTCCACATGCAACATTAACTATTTTACAACCATTAATGGCGATACTAATATTTTGGTGCCATATTATCACGGTGCTGCTGAAGTAGCAGTAAACTGTGCAACCCTAATACATATGAGATGTATTGGCCACTCAAGACTTACATATTTATTGAAAGGGGAAGAAAACCCTATTTGTGACTTGAATATTTTGATAATAAATGTATTTGAATCGAATGTGTACTTTTAAGTTATATTAGAAAAAAAAAATTCAGGAAAAATTGTAAGGGAAATGTTCAAAAAGGTGTCTTCTGGGGGAATTTTAGCTAGGATGTTTATCATTGATCAAACTGAAACAACTTGTGTCTTTTATCAGTGTTGTTATTTGTGGATTTGTTTGTCCAATGAATGATTAAGAAACTGTTGGGATTGTAAATTATATATTGAAAATTTAGTACAAGTGTTGCTTTGAATATAACGAGTGCTGCTAAAACTGATATGGCATTAAAACATAAATAAATTAATTAGTTTGGTTTGGGAAAAGGGGTTAGGCTTTTAAAGTCTATGCTTGTGTGTGTGTGTGTGTGTATATAGTGTGTATATATATATATATATATATATATATGATGCATAAATAAAATTAAATAAAAATCTATGAAATGCTTAAACTTATTTACACAATAAGATGGTACAGGGTTATAATAAAATAATGCAATACCACAAAAGAATGCATTGAAGATTCAGAATGTTGTAATGTCTTACTAAACCGGTTATTGATTAATTTTCCTTCTGCTCAGTCCCTTATTTATAAGGGGTCGCCACAGAAAAAAAATTTCCAGTCGCAACCCACTACTGGGAGCACTCATACACTCTCATATTCACAAACTCACTCATACACTGGACAATTTTTAGATTATCCAATTCACCTATAGCACATGTCTTTGGCCTGTGGGGAAAACAGAGCACCCGGAGGAAACACACACAAACACGGAGAGAACATGCAAACTCTACATAGAAATGCCAAGTGGCCCAGCTGGGACTTGAACCAGCGACCTTCTTGCTCTGAGGCAACAGTGCTAACCACTGAGCAACCATGTCACCCTGAACTCGTTTATAATTTTTCTAAAGATTCTTCAGTAACACTTTATTTTAAGGTGTTCTTGTTACATAACCCACATTCTAACCTAAATCATATAGTAAGTACATGTAATTAACTGGGATTACTCTATAGGTATATAGAGTTATACTTTTTACAAAGACATCTTCAAATAATGATACTGGTGCTTATTTTATGTAAAAGTTTATGCATTAAATTATTTATTTATTTACAGTTTCCACAGCAATATACAGTTGAAGTCAGAATTATTAGCCCTCCTGTTTGTTTTTTCCCCTATTTCTGTTTAACGGAGAAAATTAAATTTGGTCCTGGAGGTCCAGTGTCCTGCAGATTTTAGGTCCAACTTGCCTCAACACATCTGCGAGGATGTTTCTAGAAAGCCTAGTAAGAGCTTGATTAGCTAGCCTAGGTGTGTCTGATTGGATACCGGCCCTCCAGGACAGAGATTGAAAACCCCTGATCTAGATCTTTCCATCCCATTTTTTTAAATGAAGAATCTCTATGCAAATGTACCATTTCCCCCCCTCCTTTTGTGAAACATTAATGAAGATTTTTAGCTGAAGCCACATTTAATAGCCCGCCGAGGACCATGGTTTCTTCATTAATGTTCAACTGAAGATAAAAAATTACTTGCGTTCGGAATAGCCCGAGGGTGAGTAAACTAACAGCAAATTTAAACTATGCTTAAACTGAGCTTGCATACATGTGTGCACAAAAAAACAACTTGAGCTGAAACAACAAAATTTCACAGCTTTTTTAGCAAATCTGGATTGTTTTATGTTCAATCCACTTAAATGTTTTTAGGTAACTTACTAGATTTGGGTTGGGACAACAATAATGAATTGTGTAAAATGCTGCTTTTTACAGTGTGTATATATTGTATACATATATTTTTATAGAAATAAAAAAATCCTATTTAAATCTTCATTAAATTTTTTCCTCTATTTCAGAAAATGCAGAGCTGGTATAATGTGAGTATCCAGGATTCCTCAGTGTTTGTGCTTTAGCTGACACTGCTGGTTTGCTCTTCTAACACACATCTCTCTCTGATATCCAGGTTCTCAGCCCTACATACAAACAGAGGAACGAAGACTTCCGTAAACTCTTTAAAAAGCTGCCCGATACAGAGCGTCTCATAGTGGGTAAGCATCACTGCTGCATGACTACAGAAAGCCAAATATGATCTGTGACTATTGCAGGTTTCAATATGAAGATCAGTGGCATTGTGGTGTGTTCTTTTTTTAATTAATTTGTTTATTTTCATCTAGATTACTCATGTGCACTTCAGAAGGACATTCTACTCCAGGGTCGTCTCTACCTGTCAGAGAACTGGCTCTGCTTTTATAGTAATATCTTCCGATGGGAGACTACGGTAAGTCTCACATTACTGAAAGCGGGAATTAGTGCTGCAAAAACGAATAATCAGTTAACTACTAACATATTAACTGACTAAGATGTGGGCTTTGGTTTGTCTTGTTGTTTAGTTCAATATATGCAATATGATTAGTAAAGTCTTATAATAGTGTTGTTTTAAAGGAATTATAATAGAAAAATTAAATGTGATTTTTTGCATTAAAATTAGATAAGTAATTAGAGTAGGTGAAAGTGATCAGATTGAAATTATAATTAAAATTTGTATTATGCAGGTGTAGAGGATCTTTAGATGTTTGCCCCAAAATTGTAATTTTACATTTCTCTTTAATAGTTGTAGTAATTATAATAATTATAATAATAATAATATTAATTATAATAAATGCATTATATGTGTGTTTTAATCATTTTTACATTGTATATGCTGTAAAATATATACTTTTTATTTAAAAGCTAGGGGTCAATAAATGTTTTATGAAAAAATTGTATTACCCTCAGAGACAGTAAAAAAAACTCCCTATATTGTGTAATATTATTGTGATTTCAAATTAAATGTTTTCCATTTGAATATACTTTATAATACAATTTATTTCAGCATCATCACTCTAGTCTTCAGTGTCTCACAAGATCCTTCAGAAATCATTCTAATATGATGATTTGATGTGTAAGAAACATTTATTATTATTAGTGTTGACATAATTTGTTTGTGTAAACTGCTATTCTTTGATGGATAGTTAAAAAAAATCCTTTGAAATATTTTGCAGCAATATTAATGTCATTACTATCTTTTTTGAGCAGTTCAGTGTGTTTTATTTATCTTTGAATATTAAAAGTATTAATTTCTGACCCCTAACGTGATATTAAGTGTGTATAATATACAGTACTCAGCATAATTGAGTAGACCCCATTTTGAAAGTGAATATTTTTAGCAATTTCTCCTTGAATATGGGTAGGGTTTTTGGTGCATTCGAAAAAGATTTATTAAACCGATACATTTATTAAAAAAATATTTTAATCACCAAACATCTGTGGAAATTAAAAGAATACTTTTAAATTCTAGTGAAATATTGCAGAAAACTAAATTTCAACTAAATTTTGTCTTATTTCTCTTGATTATTTCCTTTTTTTTTTTTTTAGTATTTTTTTCTTACCAATACATTTTTGGTTATCATAAGTTTTTGTTAGATTATCTCCAGATTTGGTTTAAGTACTAAGTAATATTATATTATGTTAAATTAATAAAAATATAAATTTAAAAGAGGCCTGTGAGGGGTGTACTCGATAGGGATGCTCAAAATAATCGATTAACCAAATGGGTGCGTTTTTGACCAATTAAAAGTATCAGTTAAATAATTTAGATATTTTTATACTTTGGCTGTATAAGGGAGAGATCACAGCAAACACACTTTTTTTTTGCGTTGAGAAGTGTATCTTTTAGATGGTTTACTAATGGCCGTGAGTGTTTTGCGTGCTGCTTATGTGCCCTGCATGCCTCACAATTTTGCTTTTACATGCTGTGTGCACAATAAAAGTCAACCCTTAGAGGAAAAGGCGTGTTACATCAGTCACGTCTTTTTTATCCTTCAATCAAATAAAAGCAGAGGCAGGGTTTCTGTTGAGGTGACAGCAGTGTTTGTGTTGTCAAGACGACTATGGAGACTTTTGAAGATAAAGGAGAGACTAGTTCTCACTGTTTCAATTTATCTAGAGCTGTATTACTTTACAAATGTTAAATTTCACAATATTATTAAATATTCCAATTATGACAACATCGATAGCAATACTCACACACAATACCCAGCTGATTCAGTCATTTCCTAGTGACATAAAAAAGCACCATGCTTCTTCTTTTTTTTCTTGTCAGCAAAAAGGCCGTGTGCGTGCACCTCGTGTTTTTGGAATGGAAAGGCACATTCGGTGTGATCAGGCCCTGATGTGCAACATATTTGTTAACTGGTGGTACGGTAACACGAGCAAAATAAATAAAAATAAATTGCTGTTCACAGTTTGACACGGACGAGTTGATGCCAAACCAGCGCTGATGCTGATAGCCTGCTGTCCTGGAGCCGCGTCATAAACTCAACAAATAAATTATTGATGATTTAGTGTACAATCAACAAACCAACCTTTTTGTTAAATTGGAAAATGACAGTTAATAATAGTTCTTTAAAAAATATCATTTTTTATAATAGCCTATGTAATCTACGAATCAAACAAATCCAAAGACTTTTTTGATTTTTGCATAATCATAACTACGCACCAAACTGAGGCTTTCATTTTTTAGCTTATGTATATATATTATATGTAAACAACAAAATTGTTATATGTTACAGTAGCTTATACTTTTCAAAAAGTCAACAAATGAGTCTCTTCATTGTCTTTCACGCAGCGCGCACACATGAACTGCGAGTAACAGATGAAATAAAGGTACACAAGCATAAGATTAAATTAAATGCTCGACATAAATTTTAAACTTTAATGACTTGTATTAAAATGTTGACAGAGACTACAGGAATTAAAACGGATCATTAATTAAATGCAAGACCTAATTTTCGTGGAGTGGTCAATTTAAGGTAGCCTGTTATTTTGTTAGACGAAAAAAAAAACATGTGATGGGGAAAAACTGCCGGTTCTTCAAAAAGATTCTGTCAGTGTTTTCGTTTTGTAATCTTAATTTGTAATTTTAGTGAAAAATGTCTCAGGCAGGACTATTTATTTTATTCTTTTTATTTTGTTCATTCTTTATTTCTGTGCTGTTGGAAACACTGCAGGTGCGTGAAGATGTTCTGTTGTTAATATGTTCGCATGTTACAATAAATCAGTATTTTAAAATGCAATATTTAACCTGTCTGACCCAAAATAGACACGTCAATTTTTTTATATTAATAATTCTATATTAATCAGACAAGTTAACTGTTAATATTCGGTTAGCGAGCAGCGGTTGTCGGTTGGCAAAATTAAGCGAATGAGCATCCCTAGTACTCGTAAATGCTGAGCACTGTAATTTGTATATTTGGAATGTATGAGTTAAGAATCAATGAATATAGAAATTATTATATAAATACTTATGTTGTAAACCTAATTGCGTCCTGAACATTTTTGCAATATCTGTTCTGGTTGGTTATCTTTGATGAACAGCATTTCTAAATCCTAAATATCACCAGATAACCATACTTCTGAAAGACGTGACCAATCTGACCAAGGAGAAGACGGCCAAGCTCATCCCGAACGCCATCCAGATCAGCACTGAAAACGAGAAGGTACTGCTGTGCGGACACTGGATATGCATGCTAAAATTACCTGTAATGGATTTCTTTTGTTAGCTGCATTTTGAACCTCCCAAGACAATAAACCCCCCTCTGCCTTGGATTCACCTCTGATCTTGCATTTGTCAGCACTTCTTCACGTCATTTGGGGCAAGGGATCGCAGCTACATGATGATCTTCAGACTATGGCAGAACGCACTAATGGATAAGGTGAGTGACAGTGCACGAATGACAAAGCCATCTGAGGTCTCCTGTAAGAATCAGCGCTGTGTGTTTGTCACTGTGTAGTGTAGACAGTTTTATGTGGCAGACGACCAACATCACTTTGGCTGTTGTCCATAATAATTAGCACTTGGCAGGATAACAGGTGGCGGTTACAGATGTGTTGTAATGCAAGGCTGTAACAACTTCAGCAAAGCTTGTCTGTTAGAATTGAACACCACCAGTAAAATGATATCACGGCTTATATTTTTGCAACTAACATTTCAACAACTGCTGTTACTTTAGGGTTACTACTTAGGCTTACACAGAGCTCTCAGCTCTCTGAATTGCTATCAATCTCCCCTGTGTCTGTGTTTGGGTTGCCGGTTTGCAAATGAGCATAATGACACGCCCCTTTTCATGCAAACCCCTTCCCTCTTTCGCCACTGGACGCTCCCACTTTAACAAAGCTGGACACACCCACTTCTCTTATTTTTTTCAAATCAGGGGGCTGAAAACACCCTGCTGAGAGAGGGGATTTCATGACCCTTTAAAGAGATAGTTCAACCAAAAATAAAAATGCAATATATACTGTACATGTAAAAATAGTATTAATTAATATATTGTATATAGACCATTTAAATGTTGTCATGTCATTGGCCCATAAACGTATCTATCTATCTATCTATCTATCTATCTATCTATCTATCTATCTATCTATCTATCTATCTATCTATCTATCTATCTATCTATCTATCTATCTATCTATCTATCTATCTATTCCATGTAACTTTTTTTAAATTAATTTTATTTCATATTTTAAACTTTAAAAAAAAAACATTTTTATTAGTTTTTTATTTTTATTTAGTTTTTTTACTTTTATTTGACCTAGTTATTTTAGTACATCAAGGTTAATAAAACGACATAAAATGAAATTATTTTCATAGGCTAGCTGAAATAAAATAAGATTTTTTATTTTTATACTGTTAATATAATATAATATAATATAATATAATATAATATAATATAATATAATATAATATGTGTCAAGGTGGCACAGTGGGTAACACGATCACCTCACAGCAAGAAGGTGGCTGGTTTGAGCCTCAGCTGGGTCAGTTGGCATTTCTGTGTGGAGTTTGCATGTTCTCCTCATGTTCGCATGGGTTTCCTCTGGGTGCTCTGGTTTCCCTCACAATCCAAACACACGTGGTACAGGTGAATTGGGTAAGCTAAATTGTCTGTAGTGTATGAGTGTGTATGGATGTTTTCCAATGTTGGGTTGCAGCTGGAAGGGCATCCTATGCTTAAAACATATGCTGGTTAAATTGGTGGTTCATTCCGCTGTGGAGAACCCAGATTAGTAAAGTGACTAAGCTGAAAAGGAAATGAATAAATGAATGATAATATAGTATAATATAATATAAATAACTTTAAAAACCTTGTTGCTATGTTGTTGTTGTTGTTGTTATTGGTTAGATAATAAATAGGTTCAATGTAAAAATAACTTAATTAAACTGTAATGTTTTACATATAAGCTCTGCTCTAAAATCATCACAAGATCATATGATTTTGTCACGAGTGAGCCAGTCCCAAAATGCATTGACAAACCACAGTGGAATAATAAAGTAGTAATATATATAAATATACATGCATGCCTATTTTATTTTTAGATAAGTAGTGAAATAATATCTGCAAATAAAATAATTTTAGTTAAAAAAATGCAACATGTAGGATCTTTTCACTTCAAACCTCTGCTTTCCTGTTCAAGTTGCCTTCTCTGCTCTCCACTTTGCTTTCTGCTATTACTATCACAATAAAGACATAAATGCTGAAAACAAATCTTATAACTTAAAAAGAAACAATCACTAGGTTTTCTCAGTTCTGTGTGCGGTGCGTTTTTTACTCTGAAAACACAGTTCATATTATTAGCATACTGATTTTTATTTTTTTTATTTTTTTGGCATAAAAATGTCTCTTTAGTCCTAAATGCTATGTCATCACCTCTGCTGCCTCACAAAAGTGGTGTTGAAGCAGTTTTTTTATCCTCGAAGTGCCCTGTACTGAGGTTATTTTTGTTCTCTTTAGACTCTGTCTCCTAAGGAACTGTGGCACATCGTTCACCAGTGTTACGGCACTGAGCTCGGCCTGACCAGTGAAGATGATGACTACGTCTCCCCTACTGCTGAACATATGAACGGCCTGCTGTGAGTCCATACTGACACAAATCTGCTCTGGAAAAAGGTTTTATAAAATTTACCTTGCAACACAAGGACAGATACAAAAAGCGTGCATCTATCTTTAGTGTTTTTATGGGGTTTGTTTTGAAAAGGCCACATTGTTTACATACTACTTGTATTGCATATTTATTTATTTATTTTTATTTTTTAAGTTATTTTTTATTGTTTTATTTTTTTGTGTGTAAAACTACCGTTTAAATGTTATAATTTACTTTAGGTTTCCTATTATCTTACCTTCTATTTATCACAGTACATTCACTCTCCCTCCTCCGTTTATTTAAGTAATTAGTTTGATTATTTCAAGATGTTTTATTATTATTATTATCTTATGTTTTTTAGTTGTACATATTTACTACCATCAATGAAAATATTGCTGAATGTATGATTGTCATTGATTGTTAGTATTCATATGCTTGAAAGTACATTTTCCCAACACTCGTCTGTTAGAATTGAGCACTCCCAGTAAAATGATATCGTGGCTCATATTTTTCCAACTAACATTTCAACAACGGCTGTTACTTTAGGGTTACTTAAAGAGATAGTTCACCCAAAAATGAAAATGTACACAATGTTTACTCACCCTTGTGTGGTTTCTGACTTTTTTTTGTGTTGAGCCAAAAAGATGATATATCTTTAGGTAACTGGTAGCTATTGACATCCATAGTAAGAATAAAAATGCTATGGAAGTCAATGATTACCAGATTCTGACATTTTTCAAAATATCTTCTTTTGTGTTCAACATAAGAACAAAACTAAAACGGTATGGAACAAGTGGAGGATGATTAAAAGATAAGTGTTTAAATTATAGAATGAATTATCTCTTTGTTTTAAGATACTATTGTAGTTTTTAGAAGTCGTTTGTATTAATTTGTAGCACTTTTATTTCTTCTGTTTTTATTTTACTTTCTTGTTTGTTTGTTGTTTTTTCTTTAAAAAAGATAACAATTTGAAATACTTTTTGTTTTTCACAAAAAACAATTTAACATAAAATTACCTTTAAACACAAGAAAAGTCAAAATGCACCATTTTAAAAAAATTTCACATTATAGAACAAGTGTGTGTGTGTGTGTGTGTGTGTGTGTGTGCGCGTGCGTGCGTGCGTGCGTGCGTGCGTGCGTGCGTGCGTGCGTGCGTGCGTGCGTGTGTGTGTGTGTGTGTGTGTATCCCATTTTTTAAAATAATTTTTTTCTTAATATTACATTTACTAAAGGACAAGACGTAGATATTTATTTTTTTTTTATCTTTTGGTTTGTTTGGGTTTTTTGTTATGGTTTTTGCTATTTTTGTACAGAAAAAATCTATGCATTTATGCAGAATGATTTTGAGAGTGTAGTAACTAAAACCCTAACACTTTAAACAAAATATAATGCCTTTTTAACTATTATTAAATGTCTATAATGCAAAACCAATTCAAACCACCTTTTTGGTAGACAAAGAATTTTGTGATTTTCTAATTTATGAAATTATATTTCATATAATAAATACACTAAAAGACAGAAAATATCACACTACAATCTGTATTGTTCATAAATCATATACAAATGTGTATTATTCAATATCATTACTGAAATTAATATAAAAACAATGTTATTACTGAAATTGAGATAAAAGCTGATTAAATATTTACACACTGTTATATTTGTAAGTTAATAGAATAAATGATGGGCTGGACAAGTTCCTGATTACAGAATGATTCAGTTTTAAACATGGCTGATATGTTGACATTTCTGCTCATGGTTTATTTTTATATAAGGATTACATTTTATTCCTTTTTCCAACAAATCAGAACAAAAACACTTTCAAATGACAACATTAAAACAAAACGACATTCAATATAAGTATAAAGGTCACCAAATACAATCTTTTTTTTTTTCATTGATAAGTATTTTTGTTTGATCAGGGTTACATATCAAAGATGGAAAATCTCTTGTGGGGGGATTCCAGATACATAAAATTCTGTGTATTGTTTTAAATAAATAATCATAGATTACTGGGATTATTAGTAACAGTAAATCAGTTAAATCAGAAAAAACAGTCTTCTTAACATGACTGAACTCTTGTGTCTGTGTGTCTCTTTTCTGTAGGCCCGGAGAGGAGCCGGTCTCCGTCACTGACCTGCTGGATCTGGGATCAGTGCCGGTGGCTCCAGCGAGCTCCTCTCCACCCTCATCTGCCTCAGTTCTTCCATGCGCTTCAGGATCTTCTCCACCATCTTCCTCGTCCTCCTCTCAGCCTGTGGAGGTGCCGTCTATTCGGGCCAGCATTGACCCAGAGCCCAGTCCACCCAGTTCCCAGAGCTCACTGCCCCCGGTCACAAACACTGGAGCTGTCCCGGCCTCAGTAGTAAGTACCAGCAGATGTCAAACACCAGCCACTGTACTCATGTCAGAAAAACTTTACATTTTTGTTAGAGGTGTGAACTTACATTGGTCATACAGTTCGGTTCGGTTACGATTATCATGCCATTGATTCCGTTCAATTCGATATCTCTGTGCATCACAGTGCATTGACCAGCTTTCCATACACAAATTTATATTTTACTTTATAGCACAAGAATTCTTGTATTAAAATGTATACATTTTAAATGCATTTTATATGTATTTGTAACACAATCTTGTCCTTTAATACAAGTAGTTAGTTATATGGACTGTACCTTTAATTTGACCTGCTCAAAGAAAACACTCTTTTTGAGTGCATCAAACAAAACTCAAGTACATTCACAGAACAACATGAGCATTAGGAGCAAATAAACAAATGTAAATATATTCCCGCTTGCTTTTTGAGCTTTGTCGAGTGAGTTCTTACACTCCTATGATTGGTCACGTGCTCAACAGAAAAGGCTGCGATTGGCTCCAATGCTCTGGCGGTGTTCACAGATGAGTGACACTGATAAACAGCAATGGCGATCACAGCTGATCCATGGTAGACACAGAGGAGAAATCTCACTCTGCGGACACGCTCGTGTCTGGATCCACAAGTATTGCTGTATGAGCTGAGAGTCGAGGAAACGTTACACCAGCAGGTCAAAGGTCCACTGTGAGAGAGAGAGAAAAATGGAGTTTACTTTCATTTTCTCCACAGCAGTGAAATAGGGGCTTCCGCTGTAACTTCGGTGTCAGTGAATGACTGTCCAGCAAACACACGCAGTGAAATGTGCAGAGTATCTGTGTTTTTATTACTCGTGCTCGCCTCCTTCGCCATAATATTCTACTCCCACTTAGCACACATGAGACAAATGACATTAGTACGTAATAACCGGTTATGATCTATTACTGAACCTATTACTGCATCGCAGTGCATCGAAAGAAAAACAATTAATTTTGCATTCAAACAATCAGTGGTGTAAAGTAACAAATTACAAATACTAAAATTACTGTATTGAGTAGTCTTTCTCAGGAATTGTAATTTACTAAGTAGTTTTAAAAATGTGTCCTTTAACTTTCCCTTGAGTACTTTTTTAATGTCAGCAACAGCCATATCACCCTGCAGCCCAAGACCGGTTACTCACTGAAGCTAAGCAGGGCTGAGCCTGGTTAGTACCTGGATGGGAGACCACTAGGGAACACTAGGTTGCTGTTGGAAGTGGTGTTAGTGAGGCCAGCAGGGGGCGCTCAACCTGTGGTCTATGTGAGTCCTAATGCCCCAGTAAAAGTGAAGGGGACACTACACTGTCAGTGGGCGCCGTCTTTCGGATGAGACGTTAAACCGAGGTCTTGACTCTCTGTGGTCATTAAAAATTCCATGGCACTTCTCGTGAAAGAGCAGGGGTGTAAGCCCGGTGTCCCGGCCAAAGTCCCTCTATCGGCCCATACGATCATGGCCTCCCAATCATCCCCTTCCACCGAATTGGCTCTATCACTGTCTCTCCACTCCACCAATAGCTGGTGTGTGGTGAGCGCACTGGCGCCGTTGTCCTGTGGCTGCCGTCGCATCATCCAAGTGGATGCTGCACACTGGTGGTGGTGTGAAGAGACCCCCCCTCATGATTGTGAAGCGCTTTGGGTGTATGGCCATACACAATAAATGCGCTATATAAATACACATTACATTACATTACATTAATGCAGTATCAGTACTTTTACTCCACTACTTTCCTTCAACCTGCAGTCACTGCTTTATTTTTTCTTGTCTATGAGGATTAGAAAATCAGTCCTGTGATTCCTGTCCAATCAAATCACACATACTGTAGAAGGTAAATTACATCATAATGAACTACCTTAAGACATGTGCGCTTTATAATTGCAGCAAACTGTTTGGAAGCATTAAAAGTGTCCAAGAAGATGTCCAAAATCTTTACACGCATTGACCCAGAGACTGTTTAGATGTATGTCACTGATGAGAAGATGACGGATGTTTACTGTATGATGTCTGAAATGGCCTTAAACACCAAGCAGGCACAAGACCTCAACATGACGTCAGATTGACGTTGTACCCCAAAGTTGTGGAGACGTTGTATTTTGTTTGCAAAGGAAAATCGCGTTGATGTCAACGTCAATCCTAAAATCAACCAAATATCAACGTCTAATGATGGTACAGCTTGATGTTTCCACTATGACGTCTATCATATGCTGGATTTTAGTTGCCATACCTGATGAATAAATGTCAGTATTTGATGTCAATATAACGTTGGTTTAAATTGTTGGCTCAACGTTGGATTTTGGTCACTTTCTAACACAACCTAAAATTAACCAAATATCAACGTCATTTGACGTCATACTTGGAGATCAAAATAACGTTGTCCTTAGACGCTGACTAGAGATTGAATTTTGGTCAACTGACATCACAACTTAAATCTAATCAAATACTAACATCTTATGACGTTGTGTGCCTGCTGGGCAATAACTAAACACACTACAGAATGTTACGTTTACACGCATTCACAAATTACATGTAAATGCATCAGCTTTTTACAACGTAATTCCCAATACACACTACTCACTGGTAGTTTTAAAAGATCTACTTTTCACTCGTAATTTGAGTAATATTTACTTAGATACTTTTACTCTACTTGCACTACATTTTTTACATTTTCACTTTAACTTGAGTATGATTTTTCAAAACTCTTTCCGCTATTGCAAAAAATACTATCAAATGATTCATTCAAAACCACTGATTCATTTAGAGACTAGACAATTGACCATCTTTAACATTTGGCACAAAATGAGTGATGCCTGATTTATAACTAGTTTCTAGTAGTCTGATTTAAAAAAAAAAAAAAAGATAATAAAACAGCATTTTTAAGTGTGAATTTGAAATAGTATTTATTAGCTTTTACCACTTTAAATTAAACTTGGTAGGCATCATTTCTGTGTTTATGCTTTTAGTATTTAATTTTTTTAGCTCTTTGTTACTCCAGCTTTACGTTTAATGAGAGAGCTTATTCTCTTCATCTTTTTTTGTAGATTTTAAAAGAAGGCGGGGACAGCCAGTCAGAATCAGCCAATCACTCACTTCAGTCTCCTCCCTCGATCCCACACAACCTGGGAAACCTCTCATCATTGGATATGACCAATGATGAGGACCTCCCAACTGACCCAAGCAATTCCTCTGACACTCAGGAAGAGAGTGAGTATTTCTATATCCTTCTTACTTCCAAACTAACACTGACCTACATTTCTTAGATTAAAAGGATTTTAAAGTTTCAAAACCATTATCTCTCTGAGAAAATGAATGTGCATCATTGATAAGATGTCAGTCTGGTTAATTTAAATGCTTTTAATCTCCTCAGGTGAGGTGGAGTCCTTCTGTGCGGACCTCAACGGCCGATTACATATTAATACAGTCGTTCGCATGGGTGTGGACAAACTCCACGATCTTCTGTTCTCAGACACACACTTCATACAGCACCTCTTCTCACAGCGTCACTTCACTGGTCAGTTCAGTCTTTAATGGATTTAAATCTGTTTTTTATTTATACTGTACATTTTCAAAATTGAATCGCTATATTACAAAATTAAAATACCAAGAATAACTGATTGACTCGTTCAGTAAATTATACTAAATACAAAAAAAAATCTGTTGAATTACACAGTCACAAGTCACTTTATTAGGTACATTATGCTTATATCAGGTTGGATTGCCCTTAGAACCACCCTAAAGCTTCAAGACATTGATAAAAGCATAGTTTTGGCTCCAAATTGACATGACTGCATCTCACAGTAAACCTACATTTGTCTGCTTGACATTCATGATGTGAATCTTCCACTCCACCACATGCTAATAATCCTAAAAAAGAAGGGAGAAAAACTCAATCATGAGAAAATTCTCGTTTTAGTTGATGGATAAAATTAACATAAAACACTCTTTGAAAGAAAATTAAACTTCTTTCATGAACCGAAAAAAATGCGAGATTTGGGAGGAAATTAAAGCTGTGATTAGAGGAAGACCATTCTTCATTATGATTGTGAGCTCCTCAATATCATCTCTTTTTTACGTTATACATGCTGCTGTAAATTTTTTTTGTTGGAATGTAGCGTTACATTTAAACTAAGTTCAATGATGCAACACAAAAATATTTAGTAATGTGTAAGTTAGGTTGTGCTCACACTATGTACAGTTGTCTTGAATCGTGCTGAAGCACGCTTGTCCCCCTCCCCTATTTCCCGACGGCCTGCACTCGCATTGCATCCGAGCCTGATCAGGCTTAAGTCATCGATAATGCGCTGTTTAGTTTAACAAAAGAGAAGTGCTCTTGCTCAGCACAGTCGAGATTTCTTTAGTTATACCATTTTATTTGTTTTTTATCCACTGGCACATAGTCAAATATTTCGACGCTCAGATCAATTTTTTTCAATGCTCATAAATAATCATAAAAGTCCTCGTGCTGCAGGTATTAGGAGGTTTGTTGAAGGGGCAGCTCACATGCAGCTGAGGGTTTGCGTCTTTAATAAACTATGAGTTTGCATTCATTAAACAGTAAGAATGATTAATAAATCCATATGAAACAGTCCTGTCTCGTCTTTAATTTCGGGTTCAGGTGCGCTTTGCACTTACACTAAAAGCAAACTGCACCAAAGTCCAAGTGAACTGCGCTCTGGCACACCTCTTCCAACTGGGCCAGGGCACTCTGTTTTGCTGAATATTGGTTTTAATAATCAATAATGGCTATTATAAAAGTATAATGTACAATAAGTTTATACAATATCGGAAATAAATGCAAGCATTTAGTCAAATGTGCTGAATCAGTGTATGTGGTTACATTAATTAATATATTAACTTATCCTTGAGCTCAGCCAAAACACATTTCCTGAGAACAAGTAATAGATTCAAAAGAGCAAAGTCAGGGAATATGTCAGTAGATATAGACAAGATAAATTAATTATCACGTTTAACAAATATAGCGAGATAAGATCCAGCGGCAGATCCTCGATCAGCAGTCCGACCTGCACAGCTCTCATTACTGCAGTGCATGCCAGAGTGTGTGTGGTCAAGTGATGTGCATCAGCGGTATAGTGTGAATGGAGAGTTGTTCAGAAACGCTGGGTGAAAGGCCAGTGTGGACGTGAATTGTTTTCATTCTAAAAAGCGTTTTTTTAACGGAAATGTATTAGTGTAAATGGGGCCTTACACACCGCTGGTGCAACCGGCCCCAGAACATTAGAAGAGACTCTGGAACCTGAAATTATTCAGATAAGGGAGACATCCAAAATGTGTACTGTCGGTGTGCCTCCAGGAACAGGATTGGGAAACATGCTAAAAATTGCCATCATTATAAGTGATGCATTGTGGTCGTAAATTTATGAAGATGGTCAGCAACAGCAATCAGGATGATTAAGGTGTTTAAACAGTGCTCAGTTGGTACTAAAGGGAAAAATTCACTACCATAATGAAAATACAACACCACCAGCAGCAAGCTAATCCATTGATCCAAGATGGATCCATTTTGTTAAATCCAAATTTCTGAACTTACCATCCAAATATTGCAGATGTTTCAAAATTCTAATCAATATTTGGTTTACTGAGCAGTGAAATAAGTATATTAAATGAAGTAGTCAGTTAGTGTGTGTTATTGTTAAATTACCACAATACATATCTAAATTGTGCATGTTTTCTTTTAAAAGTCATCATATAATTATATTTCTTATTATAAGTAATTATATTCTGTTAGATTTCCTTTGTCTTTCAGAATCCTGCTCTGATGCCCTTTGGCATACTTATTGAAACACTGCCCCTAGTGGACTGGGGTTCCTGCTTTCTTGAAACCTTAGACTCTTTATTGCTGACTATTCAATGCATGGCTGCTTTCTGCTGTTTTGTTACTGCCTTTTCCTGCAGCTTTCAGATCCCACGTCTCCTCTTTCCTCCCTCCCTTTCCTTCTTCTCCCATAGCTGTTTGTCCTATAGAAACCACTGAAGCAGAAAATGAGAACTTGACCATGTGCTTTCAGTCTCTTTTCTATTTTAAAGTTCCTAGTGCCTTGTTCTTTTTTCCTTTTATTATCCATAACTTTGATAATGCTTTCAAAATAGTAATGCTAGATCAGTGTTGCAGTGCAGTTTTAGAGGTGTATTTTCTTGTGCTAGGCTCTTTTTCTACAGTATGTTGTCTGCATGGATAATTGCCCCCTTTTCTGTGCCCCTGCAAGTGCTCTGACTGTAATCATCCACCCTCGGTCCTCTAACAGCTCTTTTTCTGCTGTTTCTCTGTGGTGTGATTGGCCCAGATCTGTCAGTGCACGAGTGGCAGCAGGACAGCAGCAGCGGGAGCAGCAGTAGAGTTCTGAGTTACACCATCGCCATCAACAACCCGCTCGGCCCCAAAACTGCCCCTGTGGTGGAAACACAGGTGGGTTCATGCACATCTTTCTTCTTGTGTTTATCTGTCAACCTCATACTTATTAAAGTGAAAAAGGAAAAGTTTTTTATTATATATTCACCCATATGCTGTTCCAAACCTGTATACAAGTCAGTAAGCTTCAAAAGGAGTTAAATTACAGTGATTTTGCCCTCTTTGAACAAAAAGCATTAGAAAAAAATCTCATATATATTTAAAACTGCATGAGGGTGAGTTATTGGTGAACAGTCATTTGTAATCTGTAATCTTAAATTAAAGTCTTAACTTCTTTTTAAGCAGTAAACTAATGTTACTTTATATTATAGACTGTGCTGAAGAATATTTTATGCTGCGGGAAAAGTTTGAGCTTAATGCAGTGTATTTGTTATGTATCTAATTACGGTTCTATTTGTAATTCCTCAGGCAAAATTGTCATACATGTTAGTAATCTGAGGAGCAAGAAGTTTTTGTGTTTTGCGTATTGTATTGTCGTGTAAAGTATATTTGTGAGGCCAAATATGAATTTCCACATGTTTGGACAATAAAGACTTCTAATTGTAATTCTAATTCTGTGCTGACATCACAAAAATATTTATTTTTATTATTATTCAATATAATAGTTCTAAAAAATATTTGATTTCGGGAAATAATTCTAAAAGAGCTTCAAATAGTGCTCAATTTTGTGTCAGAAAAATATGTAATGTTATTAATATTACAGATCTCGGGGAATAAATCAAATTGTGGCGCCTATTTCTTCAACATGATGCCTAAAACTAAAAAAGAAAATGGCAAAAAATATATATGTTTATGTTAGAAAGATCTGTAATGTTGATAATATTTCAATGATGGCAAAAATAAACAAAATCCATATACTTTTTGGTCTTAAAGATGTGTAGTGTTAATATTATTACACATTTGGGTGAATAGATCAAATTATAATGCCTAATTTTTCAAAATGATGCCTAAAAATAAACAAAATACCTACTTTATATCTAAAAGATATGTAATGCTAATAGTATTACAGATTTAGGGGGAATAAATCAAATTGTGTTGCCTAATTCTTCAAAATGATGCCTAAAAATTAAAAAAGCCAAATTTCTTTACATGTAAAATTATGGTTTTGTGGGAATATATCAAATTGTGATGCCATATTTTTTAAACTGATGCCTAAAAATAAACAAAATGCCTACGTTTTATGTCTGAAAGATATGTAATGTAATAATATTACAGCTTTGCAGGAATTAATCAAATTGTGATGCCTACTTTTTCCAAAATGATACCTGAAAATAAATAAAATGCCTACTTTTTTATGTTTGAAAGATATATAATGTTAATAATATTACAGCTTTGAGGAAATAGATCAAATTGTGATGCCAAATTTTTCAAAATGATAGTAAAAATAAACAAAATTTCTACTTTTTTATGTCTGGAAGATGTGTAATGTTAGTATTATTACAGCTTTGGGGAAATAAATCAAATTGTAATGCCTAATCTTCCAAAAATATATGTATTGTTGATGCCTAAAAATAAAAAAGCCAAATTTCTTTATATGTCAGAAAGATGTAACGTTAATAATAATACACTTTAAGCGAATATATGAAATTGATCAGAAAAACATATAAACAATAGAAAAACTAAAATTGTGATGATAATACTTCATTATTTATCATAATAAAAAATATAATTATGTAATCCTGTTATCATAATATATCTTGCTTTTTTATTTACAAATTGAAATACAAGTTAAAATGTTTCTCAAGTAAAATTTTTCTCTTGTTCTAAACCCGTAACTTTCTGTTAATGTTTTCCATTTGTTTTATCGATTTTGTTGCATTTTGTGTTCTTTCTCCAGACTCTCCATAAGAGCAGCTCCCGGAGCGAGTGTTACGTGGTGGACTCGGAGGTCATCACCTCAGGCATCCCATACCAGGACTACTTCTACACTGTACACAGATACTGCCTGACCTCCGTCAACAAGCACAAGAGCCGCCTCAGGTACAGCTTCCTGACCATTGTTACACATGCATTGTTGTGCTTCAAAGGCAAACACAGCTGAGCGAGCCATTGTGCGTGTGCCTGCAGGGTCTCGTCTGATATCTGCTACAGGAAGCAGCCCTGGAGTCTCGTCAAAGCGCTTATAGAGAAGAACACTTGGAGCGGCATTGAGGAGTATTACAGACACTTGGGTAAGGAGGGTCTCATTATGGTGCAGACTAGTGTTGTCAAAAGTTTTAGTATGTTGGTATGTATCAATACTAAAATACAGTTAAAGTCAGAATTATTAGACCCCTTTATATTTTTTGTATACACATTTCTAAACATAATAGTTTAATCAATTATTTTCTAATAACTGGTTTCTTTTATCTCTGCCATGTTGACAGTACATAATATTTTTCGAGATACTAGTATTTAGCTTAAAATGACACTTGAAGTCTTATCTAGGTTAATGAGGCAAGTTTGGGTAACTTGGAAAGTCATTGATTGCATTGTAAACTGCTTTTAAGGCCAGTTTCCACCAGGTGGTACAGTACGGTTCGGTACAGGTCACCTTTATCAGGCTTGTGTCTCCACTGCTAAAGGATACCAGTGGTACACTTTTGGTGGATGTGGTGTATGACAGTAAGTTGCAGTCAACGTCCTTCTCTCTTGAGGAAATGTCTACAGTAAAGTCGTATGGGTCATTCGCATATCATATGGGAAGCACTTCTCACAACACAGATGCTTTATACACATAGATACTTGTGTATAAATGTTCATCTCTAACCTTCTATGAATGTGACCTTCTATGAATTCTATAACTGCAGATCAATGACAGTGCAGAATAGCCTACTGTAACGCCTGTAATTATATAAAATAAATAAATAAATGCAACATATATGAACACATACAGACCTTTACAGTCTCTGATATGTTATCAAGTACAGAAAAACTACACAGCATACATTTAGTCCTTATTTGGGTTCAAAAACACTTGCTCCTTTATTTTTGGGGCTCCATCTTTGTTTTTTCGTGCATTACTCTCATTTGTCAATTTCTAAAAGGATTGAGTGTCTAAGGCACTTCAATAATCACACACACGTTATTATCATCAGCTCAAGAAGTTTGTTATTTCAAATATAAAAATACGCTAACTCTCTGCCTTTTGGTACCCTTTTGTTGTGCTGGGAACCCTTTGGAAAGGGTACCCAAACAGTGGTATGGTACGGTTTGCTTTTTGCTACCTTTTGACAGTGAAAATGGCCATAAAAGCGTACCGTACTGTACCACTTGGTGGAAATGGGCCATTTGCCGAAATAAATCAAGACTTTCACTGGGAGAAAAAAAATATAGGAAATACTGTGAAAAATTCCTTGCTCTGTTAAACATCATATGGGAAATATTGAAAAAAGAAAAATTCACAGGAGGGCAAATCATTTTGACTTCAACTATATATAACGATTTCATTATGTTTTTTTCTGTATTTAAAAACCATGTAAACAGAGGTTTTTGATGAGCTTAAACCGACTAAAGTCGTACACAAAGTACACACAAATTTAATAAATTAAGCTGAAAGCGTATACTAGTCAAATAGGTTCTACATTTGAATTTGAATGTACTATGTAGTATGAATTTAAGTATGCAATTACAGACACACTGGTTGAGTATTCTTATTTTAATAGCATTATGGAATAGTACACACCTAAAGTACACAGATGCTTCTGTTATGTACACTGACTTTTAAAATATATTTCCATAAAGATCTTTTGTAAATTTCCTGGTCAGTAAGTTTAGTCAATTTTTGGTCAGTTATGTGCATTGCTAATCATTTCATAAAGACAAATTTATCCATGTTTTTCTCTGTTTTTAATTTTTTTTTTTTTTTGAAGCCTCAGAATGCAGATTTTTTGGATAGTTGTATCTAGTTGATGTGTAAATCTCAATTTTCAAAAATTGACACTGACAGTTGGTTTTGAGGTCCAGGGTCACAATTAACAGCACTTGAACTTTTCATTAGAAAAGAAAATAAAATGCCCAAAACTATAGATGGTACCATAAGGAAGATGTACAGTAAGTTTTAAGAAATTCTGTCATAGTCAAATTTACACATTAATGGTACTAGCTTAATGAACTTTCAGTGCATAAAGTAATAGCATCCTTTTCATTAATTGTTTGGCTCTCAACAATAAAATAACAACAAACAAATAACATTAACACCTTTTACATGACACTGTTTCTTTTCAGAAGGTTAAAGTAGAATAAAAAATCAGTTGTAATTAAAAACATATTTATCTGCTGTTTCACTTTTACGATATTCAGGAACCATGTGCAGCCACTGGCTGGTAAAAGCTGCTACTCTCTCTCTTCACTGTTGCATAAGTGCTGAAGAATTGAGGTGCATGGGCAGTGTTTTTCAGTCTTTTCTATGAGTGTCCTCCAAATTTATCCACAACCTATTTATTTTATTAATTAATGAAGAGTCATTTCTCCCAAAACTAAAAATTCTTTCACGATTTACTCACCCCTCACTGTTGAACAAAAGCCATTGACATCCATAGTATTTGTTTTTTTTACCATGGAATTCAGTGGTTACAGATTTCAAACATTTTCAATATATATATATATATATGTATATATATATATATATACGTATATATACATATATATATATATATATATATATATATATATATATATATATATATATATATATTTTATTTATTTATTTTTTTTGTGTTCAACAAAAAAAAGGGAAACTCATAAAGGTTTGGAACCACTTGAGTGTGAGTAAAGGGTGAGAATTTTCTGGGTGAACTTTCCCTTTAATTCATTTAGCAACTTTTTTTCATCAGTGTTTCGTCATGACAGTTATTCACAGTCGCTTCCTGTTGTTAAAAATAATAGTATAGCGTGTGAAGTATGAAAGCATTCACAATTCACAGTTGTCAGCAAAGTTTTGCATTGTGGAGCCAGGTGAACGTATAAATTAGTGTTTTAAAAACTATAAAAGTAATTAAAAAATGCATACAATTAATAACTACTGTAGAAAGCTTATGCTAAATTTTGTATATTTTTAGGATATTTAGAAACCCTGGTCATACACATTTTTAGAGGATATCTCCAGGAAAAGAGGCCATGTGATTTAAGGCTGCACACTATATTATTTCATCATCGATGAAAACAATAGTCACATCGCAAGATATGCAATATAAAGTCTGAATCGCCATGAGCTACAGAATTGTATTTAGTTACTGTATTTATATGAGAGAGAAAAACATTTCTTACTTAGAATTTTTCTCTTGTTTCTAGTCCAAATATCAACATTTCAAAGCAAAAACATGATTATTTTGTTTACCCCATTGGCAGATATTTGTGCTTGCTTTAAGAAAAAACTCTTAATTTTGCCTTATTTCCTCTGAAGGTGAAAATAAAACAGTATTTTTACTTGATCTAAGAAATGTTAAATATTTGGACTAGAAATGAGAGAAAGCAAAGTAAGAAAAGCATTTTTTGTATTGTAATTGTTAAATTTCCATAGCTGAATACTGTTAGACTCCCCAGAAAACCATCAATTGGAGCTATTCAAACCAACTTGTGAAGCTGTATTCATATTGCAATATTTATTACAGGAAAATAAAATATTGCAATTCCAGATTTTTCCATTATCATGCAGCCCTTATGAAGCAGTAATTTAATTGAATGATGTTGCAGTATTTCTCTATGTTATCAAAAATGGTATTGAATATCAATGGTTTTAAAAGGTATCTGGTCATCTGTTGCTTAAACAATCTTGTGTGTTGATCCTCAGAGATGGAGGTGTGTAAGCTGGAGACGCTCTTGCAGACGGAGGTTACTGTAGTAAGTGCTGGTGAAATGCCCTCGCCAGACTCCACCAAGACGCCTCCCGGCCTGCGCAGGCGCAAGCGCACCTGTCCCCGACGAGCAGGAGAGCGGGACAGAGACAGAGAGGCAGCTGGAGGAGGAGAACGGGGAGACAGAATCACAGATGAACGGGACAGGAGGGAAGCCGGTGAGTCAGTGGAGGCCGGACAGCACAGGAACATGACATCTAGTGGTGAAACATGTAGTTGCTCTTACTGGAGTAAACAGGATGCTATTTTTGACTATTTTGAAATGTAAAATCCACGTTGTGTCCTTCTGAGAAAAAGTACACAGACAAAATGTCTGTTGGTTTGTTTTTAATACTCATGTAGTTTATATGATATATTGAATTTACTGTTTGCAATTGAATAAAATTACATTTAAAAGCATAAAACAAAAAATGTTAACTGATAATAATACATGAACTATTAGTTATCAATTATTATTCATTCTGGCTTTTCCTTATTTGTGTTCTTCTGTGACGAGGATTTTCTGGTTTTCCAGGTGGTCAATATATGAAATTAGGAGAGAGGTGGCGTGCTGGAGGTGGCAGCAACAACAACAGCATTTCAACCATCCTGCTCATCGTCAGCTTCATGTAAGTGCTTTCACTTTTGGTGGCATGTACAGTAAATAATACCCCGTGCGCTTTTGTTTTGTCAACATTAACATGAGCCGCTGATGTCATCAGACCTGCTTTAGGTTTACTAAATCCAGTCTGAGCTCTTTCAGACTGCAGGCTGTCATCACCGTGGTCCTGGCTTCTTTTGCACTTTCAGCTCAGCACTAAACACACTGTTTTGAGTTGTTGAATTACACATTTTGATATTTATTTTTTAGGTCACAAATACTTCAATTACTCAAAGATTTGACCAAAAAGATGTTTAGAGGTTGTTGTTGTTTTTTTTTTCCTTTACACTGAAAGTGAATTACGAATGGAACGATGGGCTGTTATATACATTTTTTTACATGGTGTTTAAAGAGTGTGCATACAAAATTGTCCTACCATGGTAAAAATGTACCCATTTTCTTTTTTTATGATAACAAAAATTAGTAGCAATGTATAAAGGTCATAAATGTTAATATGCGTTTGGTTTCTAACACATTTGCAAACAGTATACCAATCACAACAGGCTAGAATAGATCTGACCATTCAGAACAAAGTATGCTTTTAGATAGGTGGGGTTTACAGTGACCGTTTTATGCCTCCTAGTGGCTCAGAGTATATCTGAAATATTGAGTGCACCATTTCAGATACTGAAAAAAGAGCAATGATATTTTTTATGTGCGTAAATGTTTTATAGGAATCCCTCAGTGCAAAATGCAATATTTGGAATCTTTCAAACAGAATGGCAGTGTTAAGTTTAAGATTTGAATATTTGACATTATTTAGTCAAGTGAAATGTCACATGTGAGTGATTTTGCTTACATTTGCTGGGTTTCTATCACCATATCTTAATTCACATTTTGAGGTATTGTATTAAAAAAAGAGCATTAGAAATGGAAAATTTTCGGAAAAACCCCTTAATCTGCTAAATGTTTTATGGAATAATGCAAGATGGAAATGTATTTGCTGAATAAACTCGACAGACGTAAAATAAAGATGTAGTGAATATTACAACTATTTAAGTCATTTCCATTACACTGACTTAGTTTGCTGTTGGTTGCTAGGTGACCAGTACTACAGTCAGCTGCTCTAACAGCTTGATGGAAACAAACCTAACTCACATTTGGGATTTTTCCTGTTTTTTAAACTAAGGATGGAAACCCATTCACATTTAATATAGTGAAATAAAAGCAGACTGGACATGCTGCTAAATATCTATCTGTTTTATATTTAAGTCAATGAGAGTGAATACATATATTAGGGCTGGGCGATTAAAATCGGTATCGGTATTTATTGACCGAACACCACTGTCAATAACGATAAAAAAAAAAAAAAAGTTTGGTATGAAGTTTCGGTACGAAGGCTATAGTTTTATTAAAATGTGACTGCTCTGCTGAGTGCGCGCCTTAGCAGTGATGCCAATAAGCTTAGGGTATCAGATTGTCATTTCCAATGAAGGCGCATGACTTGCATGACGCGCACATGGGAGCATTGCACATATGGTGTGCAAGTGGCACATACATGACATCCACGCATTTTCCAGGTACATTTAGGTGAAAAACATCAGAACTTTTCCGAATGCCGCATGCGCACCCCAATTTATGCAAGTAGAACTAACCGGTCTGCTTCAAACTTTGTATGCAATATACACAGTTACAAGATACGCCTATTCACCTAGTTACAAGAGATGCCAGGGGAGCACGAGTACAAAGCGCATTAAAAATTGTAATGGAAATCGAATCCACGTGCTTGTGGTTGTCACTTCAGGTCAGAATAACAACACACGTAAAAATGAGCAGTGATGAGATTGTAAATAAAAAAGGATGAAAGGATGTCGCCATAGAGGCTTTTTGGTTTCTGGTGCAACCCAGCCACTAGCTCCCCATCTGAAAGAGTTTTTAGCATAAGGGGGTAATATAGACATTCAGCTTCACAATTTGTAATGTTGCAGTATGCATTTGAATAATGATGGTTGGTTCCTTTACTTAAAGGTCAGATTTGATCTTCATTAGTACTTTTGTTGACAGAGTTTGATTGTATCAATATTATTCACACCTTACTGATGTTGATCTACAGTACCTTTACCACACACTTCTAACATTTAACATTTTATTTATTAAATTTAAGGGTGCTTTCACACCTAGACTTTTGTTTCGGAACCTGTCTCGTTTGCTCAGTTAGCGCAGTTGGTTTGGCATATGTGAAACCACCAATCGCGCTCTGATCAGCGCCAAATCAATCAATCTGAGATCGCTTGAATGAGGTGGTCTCGGCTCGATTGAAACAAACCCTGGAGCGGATCAATTGTAGTGAGAAAGCGATATGATCCAAGCCTGGTTATATTAGTGTTTTATGGATATGTAATAGGCATACGGCTATATGAAGAGAGAATTATGAGTAGGGCGGGAGGTCATTCCAGACATCCCTAGTCTCCCGGATGTTTCAGTTGTCTCCCACAAATGCACAGAGACTCCCGGATGCCCACAAATGAGTGATAATCTCCCGGAAATGGCGCGTCTCTCTCCAGTTCATCAAATACATCGCACACCCTTTTTACCCCTCCCCACCGCATCCCTCCTCGCTCTTCAGACACGTCGCGTGCACACTGTCAAACACCACCAAACCACCACCTCCCCCTGACAGCTGAGCGTGACTCTGCAAAATAAACCATGAAACTCTGACCAATGTGAGGAGAGTTACTCACACATTACTTGTTTTAGCTCTTTTGGTCTGTTTAGAAACCTTGCAGTGTGAAAGCGAACCGCACCAAGAACAAAGAGCAACAATGTAACAACTTTTATCCCAGTTTCGGAACAACTGAATCGATTCACAGGTGTGAAAGCACCCTAAGAGTCTCTTCAAATCAAATCAAATCACTTTTATTGTCACATCATCAGCAGCACGTGTGCTATGATGAGTAAAAAGCTTAGGTGCTGGCTCCAGACAGTACAAAATACAGATCTGTATTAACACTGATGTTTATTTTGTTATAAGAAAAACAGATATTTTGTTTAAATATTTTTGTTTTTGACTATCAATACTATTCCCCTTAGTAATGTTGGTAAATTAAAATAAAATGGTAAAAAAAACTAAATATATTGTTAAATTATTCAATAATTATCGATATCGAATGGAATGAAACATGATATCTTGATTTTTTTTTTTTTTTTTTGCAATATCACCCACCCACCCATGTTATAGACACTATTTGACTATGCCATTTAACACACTTTTCCTGGCATAGTCCTCATTTACAAAAACACAGCTCAACTAAACAAGTGTCTGTCTATACAATTTTTCAGTTCCTCCCTTTGTTTGCATACTAATATCTCTCCTTGCTGTTCCTCTCTTTCTCATCTTGCTTTCCTCGCTTCCTCCTGCGTGTAGGATCTGTGTCAGGTAGAGCCTCAGACTTTGTGCTTTAAGGAAAACACTGTGTGTGTGTGCGTCTGTGTGTGCGTCTGTGTGTGCGTGTGTGCGTGTGTGTGTGTTTGTGTGTGTTTGTGTGTGTGTGTGTGTTAATTGTTACAACATCAAATATAGACAAGTATATTTGAGAGGTGTTTCTCTTCTTCCTTGCAGTTTGGTGGTTCTGGTGGCTCTGAACATGATGCTGTTTTACAAACTGTGGGCGCTGGAGCGGGCCGCACATACGCTGGAGACCTGGCACTCATACTCTTTAACTGACAGGTATGATGAAGCTAAGTGAGTGCTTGTAAACACACACCCATGCAGTTGTTTTTGGAGCTGATGTGTGATGATGATGTTCTCTGCAGTCCTCTTCCTCAGTCAGCTGGAGAGTGGGCTCAGGTCCTGCAGCTCCAGAGGCAGTTTCATCAGGCCCAGATGAACAAGTGGCAGCAGATCTTACAGTCGTCTGTCACACTTCTGGATCAGGTGCGTTGTTGTTCTGAATAACAGGATTTGATTGAACTTGATTTGTTTGAATGTGAGTGACGGGTCATCAGTGATATCATTATCCAACCCCCATAAAGTTTGAAACTTTCCCCAAGTGCTGTTCAACAGAGATTTGTTTTTAATTAAGTAATTCGTTTTTGCCATGATAACAGTACATAATATCCTACTAGTTCTTTCATTATTAGCTTGCAATTTAAAAGCTTAACTAGGCAAGTTATTGGATATATTATTTATTTATTTATTTCAAAGTAAGACTTTCTTCAGAGGAAACATAACAGTAAATTATGTGAAAATTCTGTAAAATAGTGCTTAATTTTTAAATAATTACATCTTCACAGGAGGGCTAACAATGTTACTTTAACTGTATATTACCTACATATGTTTCTAACAAAACAAATATTTATTGACCTAAAATCTTTTAAAACTAAAACAAATTTTACTTGTGTAAATCTTCACTTTCAGGTGAAAATGTGTTTTTTTTTTATAATAGAGGTTTAAAAAGTGGTTACTTACAGTTTTATTAAATCATTGTAAAAGATCTGATGAAAATTAAACTGAATGACAGTACTTGTTTAAAAAAGTTTTAGGGTTGAAAATAACTCATGACACATTATGAAGATTACAGTTACATAATTTAAAACGTAATAATTATATGTGCAGACCAATCATATATAATAATAAAAACTGACAATTGGTAAGCAATTGACAATTTTGATTACATAGTGACTTTTATATGTTCAACTTTTCATCATAAAGTCATAGTCAGTGTTAATGCATTACAAGTAATGTGAGTTACTTAATACAATTTTCCAAGTAACAAGTAGAGTAACAAATTACTTTTCAAAATTGAGTAGTAATATTTGAGTTACTTTTTAAAAAAAATGTAATTCGAGTTACAGTTTAGTTTAGTTTATTGACTTTTAAAAAATAAAATTGCTAAATTAAAATGATGTAGTGATGTTAAATCATGCAATGAGAGAATGCAAGAACAGACAGAAATGAAGAGGGCAGAGCCTTACATTTTTGAGATGGATATATTCTCATTATTTTGAACACATGGAAGAAAGGGAAAAGAGGATTATTTGGATCAACAGTGATTTTATTTTTATTATGACAAAAAGTAGCAAACGCATTGCTTTAAACTTTCATTAATCTGTATATACAGCATTTAGATGGGTCAGGAAGTTCTCCCAAGAAAATTTTTTTTTCAAGGTAAATATAGAGTTATACAGGGTTATACAGTGTATTGTTAATTGTAGAGCTCCTCTATTTAAAAAAGAAGAAGAAGAAGAAGAAAAATGTTCTGAATTAGATAAAGCCTCAAGCCTCCTTTTTTGTAGTTACTTTTTTGGGAAGTAACTCAATATTGTAATGCATTACTTTTAAAAGTAGCTTTCCTCAACACTGGTCAAAGTGTTGTCACTATACTATAATTTCCAACTTGAGAAATGTCAATATTCGATACCCTTTTCAATACTGTGGAAAAAAACTAATTCGCCAACATTAAAAATATGCAACATATATGAAATTAATATGAAACAATAACTAAATATATAAATATATAGCTTATACCAGGTACATCAGCAGTCCTTAATAAACAAAATAAAAAACTACAATCTCATCTTATTTTCTGATTAAAACAAAAGTGTTAAAAACTTAATAATATTATAGTTATTCATCTCCCCGCATGCTGGTAAGAAGAGAGGCTCTAGAGCAAATCCAGTATCAATACCTACTTAATGAAGACTGAATCATTTTAAAATGTTTCAGCATCGATATTAACCAATATATCGATATTTTTGACAACACTATACAGTAATTTGATGGACGAAAAAAGTTGTCTGCTAAAAACAGTTGCGACAATTATTTAAAAAACTAACCCTCTTAACAAGAAGAATATAAAAGGAGGTCAGAGCCTGCTCTAAATGCACAGGTCAGCTCCAATTGGGTGGGACTGAAGCTCCAAGTGGGCCGTCCAAACATTGTGGAGTTTTCATTGATCTATTGTATATCTCTACATGACATTGAGTCCAAACTATTGTGTTATGCTAACATCTACACCTACCACAACCTTAAACCCAACCTCACAGTCACCGGTTGTGATTTATTAACATCTACACCTACCCCAACTTACTTGCTCCTAACCCCTCTTCATTAAACAAGTGAAGCATGTTGGTTTTGAGTCGCTTTTAAGCTGTGTTGGTGTGTGGTATAGATGAAGCAGTCTCTGGAGAAGCTCCACAGAGGAATGATTCCTCCTGAGGGGCAGCAGGAGTCTGATCCCGAACCGGACACACTGGCGGATCAGTGACCCGCAAAACACACACATCACACACAGGAGACGGTGCTCAACTCGGTCGGGTATCCAGGAGCAGATACAGGACTGTATAAAACCCACACACCATCAACATGAACATCATGAACTCTGGGTCTGAAGCAATAACACACACATGGGAGCATCGGTCACTGCATCATGTACTGCGTGTCTCAGCTGAACTTGTAGAAATCTGCAATTGATTGTGGACCTTTTAAAAGATGTGGAAAAGAGGGAAACGTCTTTCTCTTCTTCTGGAGGACTCGAATCAACCTCCAATCTGCTAGGAGACGTCATTTCACTTCACAACAGATATGTTTTTATGTTTTCCTGCGAGAGAATTGACCGCTTTTTCTCGCATCTTGTTTTTGTTTGTCAGAGCGGTTACTGAACTTGTTCAAAAGCGTGTCAGACCATTACAGTATTTATTGAACAGACTTGAACTATACACGTGTGTTTCTGCTCGAACAAGGACCAATGTAGAGTTTGGTGGAGCGACTGGTTTTAAAATCAGTTCCCATTTTAGCAATAATCACATGGACAAATTGTAAAGACAATTAGAAGTTGAGTTTAAAGAAAGAAGTGGAATGGACAACTGTTACTTACTTGAGGTAGAGAGAATCAGAGTGATGATTGTTATTATCCTCCCTAATGTTTTTAGTTATTATTTCTGTTTTTAAACCCTGTGTATTTATGATTGACCGGTGAGAGGAGCAAGTTTGTGTCGCTGAGGTGTTGGGGAACTTGAGTTTTACTGGAATCAAACTTGAATTGTTCACAGTTACTGTTAAGCCCAAAGTTACTTCAGTTTTTACTATTACACAAGGATCTATAGCAGTAAATGGGGGTGAGTTTTATCATCGGAGCAGTATCTGCGTACTGTACATGCACTGCCCAATTTTAATGTTTATGCGCAATTTATGCACATGCTTTGAATTGATATTCATGCTTTGAACTTGTTTTGCACTAGTTTGTTTGCAGTGTTCATTTTGTCAACAAAAAAGGGTGAAAATGTTTATTTAAAATATTTTTTTTCCAAAGTTTTCACTCGCGCTTATTTAACGGCTCATGAGTAGGCCCACACGGAATCTAGCCCACCATGTCTAATATGAACATTTTCATATAAGTCAATAATATTAATTTCAGTAATATTATTGACTAATATAAAATGTTCATCTAATTTATGTACAATGCAGTTTGTAAAGTTATATTTTCTGTCTTTTAGTAGGTATATTATATGAGAGACTTGCTTTGTTTACCAAATAAAGTGAATCTAATTGGATTTGAATTTTAAACAATAATTAAAAGTTTCAAAATTATTATTTTTGTTTCATATATTAAGTTATAATACTCCCCAAATAGTTCCACAGTAATCTGCAGATTTTTACCAAAATAGCAAAACACATCCGCAGATTCCGTCTGGCCCTCTCCTTGAGTCATGACTAAACAAAGGGCGCCAACGTGAGCGCGCATACTGACGGAGTTTTTCATCACTTTATTTTCATTCATGGCTTTTAACCCTTTCCCGCAAGCTTTTGACCGTGTGTTTTTGTGCTGCTGTGGTCGAGGTCAAACACAAGTGGAAGAAGGTATGCGATAAATAAGGAAAAAGGCATGATGGTGATGACTTTTTTTGTGCAACAAGTGAGTGTCAGAGGCGTGAAGTTGCTCAGCGCCATCTTGTGTACAAGAGTATTTAGGTGATTTATTAAGCGGCATACAATGTCAGGGCAATTCGTCTCATCTCTAAGGAAAGTTGTTTGGTTATAAATAGCAAAAAATGTCTCAAAAAATTACAAAAAGTGCGACGAAAGTTATGCCGGTGCGCACAGGTCTTAAAAATAGACGAAGATGAGAAGGAACGGATATTAGAAACTATATCAGCATGTAATACTTTTATTAGAAATGAAATTTCTAACATCATTTACTCCATCAACTTATTTCAAACCAATTTGAGTTTTTTTTTTTCGTTGAACACAAAAGAAGATATTTTGAAGAATGTTAGAAACTTGACATCAGAAGTAAGAACATCAAAAAGTATGGGTGTGAATAATCGCATAGTTTTTAGTCACAAAATTGGCACAGCAAACCTGTAAAGTTTATTTCAAGCCAGTCTATGAATGTTTTTCGTCTGTATTTTTGTTGACGAAATTAAAACTGTCCACAAACTGTCAAAACTAAACAGTCGGTGGAAAAAAGAAGCTTAAAGATAACACATGCGGCTGATGAGTGAATGGTTTTCAACAGGTATAAATATAATTTTTAAACACTGGACGAGGATGAATCTTTCTAGTGCGCATGTGTCGGTCACTATTAAGTGAAGTGCACTTTGAAAAGCTGTGCATGTCATAAATGAAGTAAACTTTGGGCTGAACGTTTGTGAGAACTCAGTCCTTCCTGAAGCTGGACGTTTAAGGACCAAGCAGAACTCAAGGATTGACATCAACATTTCACTGAACACTGGGTCATTCTCAGAACACTGAACCCGTCCGCTTGTTTCAGCTCCTGATCAAAAGAATTTTTTTCCATTGTCAATTTTATGACAATTTGAATTCATTTTATTCAAATCATTAATATTTAAATGAAAAGTACAAGTGTATGAATATATTATTACTCCTCAATAATGGGAAGAGTGAATGCAAAAAGAGCTAAATATTTGTTCTGTTCATTTTTTTATAATGACAGGCTTTTGTGAGATTTACCCAGAGGATTGGAGTTTTTGTTTGTTTGTCTTTTACGTTTCATTATTTCATTTGAAGAGTCTGTTACTGATGTCCCCTGTCCGACCATTTCATTTTTCATCTGTATATTTGTCGTCTTGCTGTCCTTCTCAGTGATCTCTCCCTCCTCTTGAGCATTTGTCTGTCTGTCTATCTGTGGGCGCTGCTGTGCAAAGCCCTTGCTGAGTGATGAAAGTGTGTGCTATTTATTCTGGTCAGGGAGGGAGAGAATGAAGGTGGGATGTATTGTATAGACACGATTGTAAAGATGACTTGTGAGTCACAAATGTATAATAAAAAAAGCTAAAAAAAAACATTCAACTTAGGAGTGTTTTGCTTAATATATAATATTATAAATATGTTTATGCAGGGTATCCGTGAGGTCTTTAAAAATGTTTAAAAGTCTTTTTTTCTGGCCCTAAAAAGTCTTAAATTCTCTGAAATATTGTGTTGTAGGTCTTAAATCATTTTCTTAAGGTCTTAATTTTCCTCTGCCCAAGTAAAGCTACACAATCAGGCTGACATTCATCCAATCACCATTGATTCATCTTAATAAAACCTGTTTTAAATATTTAAGTTTATATTTCAGTTTTTTTTTTATTAATTCCCTAATTCCCAAGGAAAAAACTAAAACAATTACACAGTTCCTCATGATGATAATAACAGAGCAATATTGCCCTTTACATTATCTTCCATTTATACAAAAACTATATACAGAAGTAAGGGGGAGTAGACATTATATTTAGAAATAGGCATACAACTTAAAGATTTGATACAAATGTGCATTAGGTTGAATAGAAGTTATAGTCAGTCAGTTGGACCAAAAAGACAATAAATATATTTTTGATTGTTTATGTCACTGTCTCTATAATGAATGTACTTTTAACACTGTTAAATTTGTCATTTGTTATATTTGACATCCTCATCATTAGTCCAAGCGGGCCATTAAAATCAATCATTAGTGTTTAGCCTTATAGAAGTCTAAAATTTCATTCATAATGGTCTTAAAGAGATCCTAAAAGGTTGAACATTTGAGTTGATGAAACCTGCAGAAACCCTGTCATGTCATATGAAGAAAGTAAGTATTAGTTTAAAGAAGAAAAAAAAACATCATCAGTGCAGAACAAAATAGAATCTACATTTTACTCCCTTTATTAATCTGGGGTCGTCACAGCCGCATGAACCACTAACTTATCCAGCATATGTTTTTTATGCAGCAGATGCCCTTCCAGCTGCAACCCATCTCTGGGAAACACCCATTCACACTCAATTTAGTCTACCCAATTCACCTGTACCACATGTCTTTGGACTGTGGGGGAAACTGGGGCACCTGGAGGAAACCAACGGCAACTTGGTGAGAAGATGCAAACTCCACACAGAAAGGCCAACTGACCCAGCTGGGACTCGAACCAGCGACCTTCTTGCTGTGAGGTGACAGCACTACCTACTGCGCCGCCACGTCACCCTAAGTTTATATGCATTTATATTCATTTTACTTCGAAACAGAACTTAAAATTAATAATATTGATAAATTATACACATACACACACACACACACACACATATATGTATTTCTAATTGGGAGATATTTTCTTTGCACACTTTGGGCTTATTAGTACCAAATGAGCATCATGTCAGTGCCACAACCTACCTGAGTATTGTTGCTGACCATGTCCATCCCTTTTTGACCACAGTGTACCCATCATCTGGTGGCTGCTTCCATCAGGATAATGTGTCATGTCATAAAGCATGAAGCATCTGCTTTCTTAAACATGACAATGAGTTCACTGTATTCAAATGGCCTCCACAGTCAGCAGATCTTAATCCAATAGAGCACCTTTGGGATGTGGTGGAACGGAAGATTCAAATCATGGATGTGCAGCCGACAAATCTGCAGCAACTGCATGATGCTAGCATGTCAATATAGACAAAAATATTTGAGGAGTATTTCCAGTACCTTGTTAAATCTATGCCATAAGGGATTAAGGCAGTTCTGAAGGCAAAAGGGGGTCCAACCCGGCACTAATAGGGTGTACCTAATAAAGTGGCCGGTGTGTGTGTGTGTGTATATTTCTCCCTCTAGTATTCTAGAATACTTCATTTATTAAAGAGCCCCTATTATTCATTATAAAAGGTCATATTTTGGTTTTAAAGGTCGATAACAACAGTCTGATATGCCTGCAAGGTCAAAAAACACTTTCATTGTCTTATAATATGCATTTATTTTTACGTAATTATCCCAACGACTCCCATATGATTCGGTCAGCAATTCATTTATTGCCAAACCCCTCCTTAGCGCGAAGCTAATCTGCGTTGATTAGTTCGATGATCCAGTCTGTTGCGATTGGTTGACTTGTTTAGCATGAGATAGAGAGAACTGCCCACCACCAAAATAACACTAACTTTCCCTCACACTTCAGAGCACAGCGTCTTCACGACATGATTCAACCTGGGATCTGCTACAGCGTTTGACTAATTTCTACAGTGTTTGTAGGCGGGGGTTTTAATTGTTCCTGGTCTGCACACTCAACAAATTGGCGGTGCTTAAGATCCGTATCGACTACACACCGACACGGCTAAAGATTCTTTACATTCCCGGAATTCATTTGAACCACTCTGAGTCGACTCTTTTATAGATGAATCAATAGTTTTAAACCCAGCGCACTTTCAGGTTTAAGCCTTAGCTGGATATTTCACGTCACTTGTTACACTGCATGGAAGGGCATTTTCAAAAACCCATAACAGGGCTCTTTAACTGCACCTAATATTACAAGACATTTAAATGCATACATCTGACTAATAAGTTCAGATCCACTGAGAATTGTCGAGTATCTTCCTAAATGCTGTCCCATATCTGTGGAGTTTCGGAATCAATTTCAAAGATATAAATGTATTTTATTTAAATTGTTTTAGTTTTGGGTGTCAAGAGGGCACCTTTGGTAGCACAATCGCCCCACAGCAAGAAGGTCGCTGGTTCGAGCCTCGGCTGGGTCAGTTGGCATTTCTGTGTAGAGTTTGCATGTTCTCCCAGTGTTCGCAAGGGTTTCCTCCGGGTGCTCCGGTTTCCCCCACAAGTCCAAAGACATGAAGTACAGGTGAATTAGGTAAGCTAAATTGTCCGTTGTGTTTGTGTGAATTAGTGTATGTATGTTTCCGAGTGAAAGGTTGCAGTTGCAAAAGTATTCTCTGCAAAAACATATGCTGGATAATTGGCGGTTCATTCCGCTGTGGTGACCCCAGATTAATAAAGGGACTAAGCCGAAAAGAAAAAGAATGAATGAATGAGTTTTCTTTAAAAATAAAAAATCTACATGCTAAAAAATGTTGTTACTCCAAATATTCGAAGGGCACTGCTTTTCACAGTTATAAATATACTAAATGAAAATGACGAAGAATAAAATGGAACCCAGAAAATTGTGTTGCATCGTCCAAATAAATAGATAGCCTAAATCACAAGATATTTTTTACATATTTTATTGTTTTGGCAAGCAACATTTTCACTTCAACATGAAATTCATCCTGGTCCTGTTGAGGCCGTAAAGTGAACAGACAATGTCAGAGAGTGACGATGTTCTGTGACATCTAAATGTTAGTACAATACCATCCATGATTAATGTAATCATCACAGCAGTGCAAACAAAACTGTTCATCTTCATGACGGTATTCATAAAATCATGCAGTAAAAATCTACCAGTTCAACAACCACCTAATGAAAGATATCAAAAGTAAGAAAAGCAGAGCTGGGAAGTCTCGAGAAATGCTCGATCATGCATAAAGGTAGTGAGACTTTGGCAGTGTTCTGCTGCCCTCTGTAGTCACTACCACACATTGGCTACTAAGAGGGAGAGGAAAGATTGAAAGGAGCTTTTTTTTTTTTTACCGCACTTGCATACATGAATGCATCTCATTCCTGCTCTTCTTCTCCGTTTTCATCATGCATTGGTGCTACATGAGACACGCTTTAAACTTTGAGTCATTCATTTTCCATTGACTTCATGCAGCCCTTGATTATCTTGTCAGTAAAGACGAAACGAATAGGGGAAACGGCATGTTGTTAGTAACCATTACTAATAATGTATCGCGTTACTTCCCATCGCAGAACTCGTTTATGACGTCAATGCACTTTCTTCACGTCTGTGATGATGATCTGTGACATTAATTTGCTTTGCTGTTATTTTAATAGCTTTTCATCGTACTCGTGCTTTTTAAATGACGATTTGTGCTTTAGTGATGAATATCCATAACGCTTGTGCAGATGCCGCAGTTTTATAAGTTGAATGTGCGAGGCGGTTTTGCTTATTTCTCCGTTTGATATGGATAACTGGTATTTCTTAGCTTATTTTTATTTATTTATTTTACATATTTGCTGTTACAAAAACTAGTTTGCAGGGTGATTTGTCTAATTTTTCTTGGCTATTAAATCTGCACCATTACAGACAACGTTTAAAAATATGGTGGGTCGTGAAGCTGCTGTGGTCTGTAAATATAAGCATGTTACATTTGCTTTAACAACTTTGTGTCTGTTGTTAAATGAAACTTTTAGGCTATATGTGAGAGACAAAGACTTATTAGTTACGGTTAGCTTACCTGTGGCTAGTATTATAAGTACTCAGAATCCCCTGTATGTGAGACAGTAGGATAGGAAGCTCTTGTAAATGTGCGTTATGTTGTCATTAATTACTGTCCCCAGCTGCCAAGCATAGTTGCAAATTCTGTCTTGAATTATATATATATATATATATATATATATATATATATATATATATATATATATATATATATATATATATATATATACACACACACACACACACACATGTTTATGTATATATATGTGTGTGTGTGTGTGTGTGTAATTATTATAGGTGTAACGATACACAACATGATACCTCTTTAAGGACATCTTTTCAGGTCAGGAAAAATATAACTGCTTCTTCAACAAACCTTTTACTTGTAAAATAAAAAAGTCAGTAAGTCCTGCTGTAAATAGGTTTCTTACAGTTGTGTGCAGAAGGATAATTATTTTGTTGTTAATTTGGAAAGAGGTTTGAAGTATACCGTCATCTTTAAGTAGATGCACCAGAATCACTTCATGCACAAAACACCTGCCGTTTTTGACTAGCATGCACGCAGATGCTTGTTTAATGAAGTCTGAAGACTCGATCACTTTGCGTTTTTGTACTATGGAAATACTCGTGGGAATTTCAACCGTGAGATGCAAGTTAAACAAACAAATGAAACACATTAGACAGCATAAAATAACTGTAGTTATTAGTTTTAGGATCTCATGATGCTCTTTTTTTTGTCGCCATAGAACCAAACAGACAAGCAAATTTCTGTTCTCATGACAATTCTGAAGTTCCCCTCAGTCCTGAGTCGGTATCACAATTCCAACATCTCATTTCAGACTTGTTTCTAGCTAAGAAAGTCAGAACTGTGAGCTAAAAAGTTTTAATTCCATGGAGATAACAACAAGCTGTCATACTCATTTAGTAGTTAAAATAATGCAGCATTTGTTGGGTACACAAGCTTCTGTTGCGAATGTGTATTACGTTACACCCCTAATACTGTACATCAATGTGTTCTGATTTTCTAGCTATTTCTTCCCTTTCATGTGTTTTTGATCTTTTAAATAAGGATATATAGATGTGTGTTCACATATTTCAAGTTTTTTTTTTTTAGATCATCTGTATATAGTTGTGTATATATTCTTTTCTGTTCTGGCTCAGTAAATATACTAGTGAACTACACAGTTTCTAACATGTCTAAAGTCCTCTGGCTCAGTCGATATATATTAGTGACTTATGTTGATCCCATTTAAAGCGGAGTTCTCTTGATGTGAAAAAGCATTACAGGTGTTAAGAGCTAAAACATATGTACAAGTCATGTTGGGTATGATTTGTTATGTGCAGTGCTACAATTACTGCATTCTTCATTTAAACTCAGAGCGGTCATCATGTGCCTTAAAACAAAACACTTCCTTTAACGTAATGTGTGACTGTGTTTCCCTGATGGTTTATAATGGTGCCTCTGTCACAGTCGAACTCAAAGGTCAAACAATGGTCCTGTGGTTTGGCAGAGCGCCAGAGAGGGAGACGGAGAGGCCGTTGGTCGTGTCATGATGGACAGAGCTTCAAGCTTTTGGCTTGAGGCTTTTTTTAGACCTGAAATGAAACAAAAGGCAGATTGTTACACTGATTCCTCAATACAGAAAGTCAGGATTTGACCATAGCAACTGTTTTTTTACAAGCCCACCTGTGTTATTCTGCCACCGCTACACCTGCACAGTTATCTTTGCTCTCAGAGGTTATAGCTAAATATTCCGCCCTAAGAGAACGGAAGAGAGAGAGAAAGAAAGGCAGAACAACAGAAAAGGCAATGAAGAAGAGAACAGCTTGCAGAAAAACACTGATCAGTTTAGGGTTATATACTTTTGAAGGAAGAAAAGAACTGAAAACTAGAGGCAGAACATCAATCGAGTTTGAGAGCATTGGTTTAGAACAGTGGTGTTCAACCCTGCTCCTGGAGATCGACCTACCTGCAAAGTTCAGCTCCAACCCTCATCAAACACATCTGAACCAATTAATCAGGACCTGAACAGCACTTGATAATTACAGGCAGGTGTGTTTGATATGGGTTGCAACTGAAATCTGCAGGACGGTAGATCTCCAGGAACAGGGTTGGTCACCCCTCTGGTTTAAAAGCACTTGAGGCAGGCAAATCCTCGTTTGAGGTGAACTGTCCCTTTAACGAGGTCAACAGGTGTTTGTTATCAAGGAAAAGCAAGCAGAGAAGAAGAGTGTGTTCAATGGGAATGTGGAGAGTTGAGACTCACTCGCTCTCTCTCAGCGCTTCCTCTCCGGCTGCTGCAATCTTCCTGTAGCAGTAAACCATCTCCACCACCAGCCACAACTGCAGCCCGATAATGGACACGTACATCATCACCTCAGACAAGATTGACGCCATCCCTCGGGTTGCTGAAGGTAGGACAAAGCCCAAATTCAATTTACTAACATATATGTAACCGTGGCTCACAAAAATAAGCCTTGTGCTGTTGGGAAAAGTCATTGTATGAGCAAAATTGTATATATATATTTTTATTTTTTTATTTATTTATTTATTTAATAATAAAAGTGTCATTTGCAGTGTTTTTAGGGGATTGTAATTTTCTCTGCCATTAAAATCCCATCATTATTTTTTCAGTTGTTATTCTTTGCTTCAAATAAGAGTCTGTAATGTGTTTCCCTTTGTAGCTGGTTGGTTTGATTTATGGTTTGTCGGACTTTAACAAAGTTCTTTTATGATCCATATAGAAAAATTACTTCTAGAACAAGCTCTGCTGAAAAAAAGTGAACACCACCACTCTTGATTTTATTGTGTACTATCCCTTTATGAAAAAAAAGTGTTGTAGAATTCTGTTGGGTAAAGATTGTGTCAATGAAGACATTTGGAAACTTCTTTTCATAACTCTATCAAAACTAAAGTACATTAGTAAAGTTCATGATTAAGAAGGGAATTCTGACAAGTTTAAAGGTCCAGTGAAGTGCTCTTGTAATGTGCATTTTTACTCTGTTTGACAAAATCTCAACCAAAACATGAAGAGAATGTGGTACATATAGTGTAGATCCTCCCCTTTAAAAACAAACAGTCAATAGCATTTTGTTTTATTGCGCTCTGCTGGTGATGGTGGTTGAGCTCAAGCCCATCAAACGTGAAGAGTTTTTTGAAGACGGTGGGCTATATCAGCAGTGTTGTGCTACTGAAAAATAGCAGTTACACCAAAAAGTATTGGTCACTGTTAGAGGTCATTTCCGAGTCACTTTTCCAAAGAGCATTTTTAATGCCTTTATAATGTCATGTCAGTGCTGCATGGAGAATACACTGTTGATCAGCTTCACAGTTTTAATTAATTTGCATTCTCAACTAAAACAGAAGACAGACTTAAATAAAAAATGAATTTAAGTTAGACCAGCAGCACAAAAATAAATAAAATAGGTGATCAACTAGCTGAATAATATATTCAGAAACAAGAAAGCAAAATTTAAAGCTTGTATTTAATCCTTAAACATGTTCCTTCACAGCCTGAGTATGAAAATAGCGACAATATACAACAATCACAAAACCTTATTGAAATAAATCAGGTAAATCATCATTCAGAATCAATTTGGTGAAATTCAGCACCAAAAAAACTGCTGTTTTAAGCAACCATATGTTCTATGCATTTTAAGCAAAACAGAAACATAACAGCTGCTCAAAAACAAAATCGATAAGCAATTTTTAAACTAACCACAAAAGAAACGTGGTATGTCAACAACTTATAAAAGTAAGCTGTGCATATTCAAAGAGCAAAATCTGCTGTTGTATAACCGCTATAAAAATATGTGAAACAATAAAAAATAAAAACAGCATTTTTCTGAGCAATATACAACACTATACATTAAAAATAATGTTCGTTATTCAGATAACAAATGTGTGCTTATTTATTTAAAACAACAAACATTAGTAGTATTAATAATAGTAATTATTAATAGTAATGTTAATAGTCTCTCTGTCTCTCTCGCGTGCAACCCGTCTCTTGTGTGCACACTTAGTGCACACTTTACTTTTGTCCAATCTGGCTCCTTGTACATGACGCGTCTTCTTTACAGTGGTTGTTTCCTCCACCAAAGATGTAGGCTAGACTGCAGCTAAAATCAATTAATTTACCAAGTAATGAACTAACGTATTATATTGAAATAGTTGATATATTTAAAAAGTAATGTGTATTTTTTACTATCAAAAGTAATGCCGTTACAGTAACGCATTATTGCCCAACACTGCATTTCAGATACTAGAGAGCATTTGATGTTTGATTTGATTGTTAAGATTTGATGAGAAACTGAAGTATGAGGTGATGTAAATGTTGATCTATTTTTGCAGAAGTGATAAACTACAAGCTTTACATGTTTATATCAGTCTTTTATCTACTTTCTACTATAAACATGAATTTTGTTCATGTTTTGATGCTCAATCACTCATAAATATCATCAAAACAAACAATACTAATACCAACATCTAAAAAAAACGTTATTTTCATTTCATGGGATCTTTAAGGGCGATTTTTCTGTATTATTTATTTATTTAATGGAACCCTTAGATTCCAGATATTCAAATAGTTTTATCTCGGCCAGATATTGACCATTATAGAATATTAACAAACCATACATTAATGGAAAACTTATTTATTCAGCCATTTGCAAAAATAGACACTTGTGACAATCCAGATTCACATATTTGGTTACATTTAATTTAAGCACATTGTCTAAGGATAATTTTAATTTAGTACAAAAAAAATACTGTTGAAAGAGAATTAACACAGGGATTTAATGTGTGTTATCAGCATATTTGTACACGTTTGAGCATTTATGATTATGTAAGATAGACACAGTTTCATAATGATTCAGTTGTGACATCAGTGCTGATGCAAGTCTGAATCAGCCTATGACATGACGTTGCGTCTGATCCAATTATCACTGTAAGCATATGTGATGTGACCAGAGAGATGTTCTCAGCAGGAATACAACACGCATGCTGACTTCTTAAAAGTTTATTTTGACTTTAAGTTTCAATAAAAATTCTAGTTTAGTTTTTAATTTTTGCATTGTATTAAAATGATAGTTTTATTTAGTTTATAATTTATTTTAATTTTTATTATGTTTTTTTATTCTAACAAACTCAGTTTAAAATTGTACTTCAGATTTGGATGTGAAGTCTCTTTTCAAATATTTAAAGACCTTTAATATAGAGCATGTGGCTGTTGAAAAAAACTACAAGGTATAAAAATATATAAAAGAGCCGGAACATGTACAAGCAGAAACATGGAAGTGTTTCTAACAGGTGTCTAATGCAGAAGAGAGGGAGGAGTGTGTCCTATAATTTATAGTATCTTGTAATTTGTCAAGCCCACTCAACTGTATGGAATCCACTAAAACAGCACAATACATTTATACCATTTTCTATTAATTTATTCCGCCAAACTCAGTTTAAAATTGTACTTTAGATTTGGATTGGAGCTTTATTGAAGCCTCATTTCAGTCTAAAGGACACATGCAAGCATTTTTCACATGTTCATTTTTTTCAAAGTAGACATTTTCTAATATTTCAACATATTAGTTGATCTCAGTTAACAAAAGGATGAATAGGAACCAATAGTTATAATATATTATTAACCAATAGTTAATAATAGTTAATAATAGTTATAATAGTTATAATAGTTAATAATATACTTGTGTATATATGTTAAAGCAGTCCGGATCAAACCCACAGCTGAAACTAATTTAACAAAATAACTGAAATAATTGAATAAAATAAGATCATGGTGTAGAAATGAGCACACCCAATAAAAAAAAAAAAATTAAATACATTTTATCAATTTGTCTTTTTGCAAAACTACATTTGAATTAAAGGGCATCAATTTCACCCATTTAAATTCATTTCCCTTAGTCCCTTATTTATCAGGGGTCGTCACAGTGTAATGAACTGCCAACTATTCCGACATGTGTTTTACACAGTGGATGCCCTTCCAGCCCACACCCAGTCCTGGGAAACACCAATACATATACTACGGCCAATTAAGTTCATCCAATTCACCTATAGCGCATGTCTTTGGACTCTGGGGTAAACCAGAGCACCTGGAGAAAACCAACGCTGGGAGAACATGCAAACTCCACACAGAAATGCCAACTGACCCAGCCGGGACTTTTCAAACATTCTTCAAAATATCTTACCCCTTTTTGTGTTCAACAAACTCAAACTGGTTCATAACAAGCAAAGCATGAGTAAATGGCAGAATGTTTATTGTTGGCTGAATTTTCCCTTTAATCATGTCGACACAAATCAGAATAAGGCGCTGATAAGATAATCAGGCTGATAGAACACAGAAAATCCTCTGCAGTTCAGGGTGTGTGCATGACGACAGATGAGTCAACACTGAATGGAAGAGTCTTTGAGATGTCAGAATCAAGGACACTGTCGTTGCCTTTACACACAGCCCTCAATGAAAGGTGTTGTCATAGCAGCAGCAGCAGCAGCATGGCTCTTCATCACTGCTCTCCTTGACTCAACAAATAATTCATTTTTCAAAGCAAGTATGGTGATTAGGATTACAATGCACAGATATCATTTATGGCCAGTTATGTGCATTTTTATGCAAACATTTGCTGTTTTTATTTAAATTACATTTATGGGCAGCACGGTGCCTCAGTGGCTCAGACTGTCGCCTCACATCAAGAAGGTTGCTGGTTCAAGTCCCGGCTGGACTAGTTGGCATTTCTGTGTGGAGTTTTCATGCTCTCCCTGTGTGCGTGGTCCACAGTCCAAAGCCATGCTCTATAGGTGAATTGGGTAAGCTAAATTGGCCGTAGTGTATGAATGTGTGTGTGAATGCAAGAGTGTAGGGGTCTTTCCCATTACTTGGTTGCAGCCAGTAGGCCGTCCGCTGCATAAAACATATCCCAGAATAGTTGGCGGTTCATTCCGCTGTGGTAAACCTTGATTACGGAAAATGAATGAATGTAAAAATGGACCTACCATGTCCTACTACGCTGATGGTGATGAACTTTGTGGCGTTGGTGTGGTACTCATAGTTGGGGAAGATGAGGATTCTGTCGAAGAAGCATCGAAAGGTGCCGGTGTCATTGAAGGTGACGTTGAGGATGTAAATTGAGCCGTCCTGCACGTCGTCTGTTTTTTTACTGCCATTCCAGGCCAGGCGGTCTTCAAAGCGCTCGTCTGTTATGCTGGCTGTCATTTCTGCATAAGTGTAGATCTAGTTGTAAGAAAAAGAGCTTTCATCAACGTCTGAGACTGCTATGACAAATAACCAATGAGAAAGGCACCCCAGCAAACATTTTTCGTTTTTAATAGATGTCTAATAGATGTCTAAACATAGTCGTCTTGGCTAAAACAAGGCTAAATATGGGCTGTCAGTGAAAATCAAATAGACTTCTAAGAATAGGCCAAAACAAGTCTCTCAAATAAACAGAAATGATTGACTACACATATAATGTCTGTCTAATCTGTCTATTTGACGACTAGTCTAGTTTTGGGCTTTTTTTAAACATCTATTATATTTTCACTGACTGCCCAAATTTAGCCTTGTTTTAGCAAAGCTGTCTACGTTTAGATGTCTGTTAGTCATCTATTAAACACATTCAGTTGTGTTTTTATTTATTTATTTGTTTATTTTTATTCATCTGTTATTTTAATAAATCAGCATATACAAATACAGTCTCGGCTATACAGTGGGAAAAAATGGGGAAATATGCAAATAAGTAAACAGGATAAAATCAGAAAAAATGATTCATGTAATGCCAAAAAAGTGTCCATAGCTGCCAAAAGTCATCAGACTTTTGAAGTACGCCATAGGTGAGTTTCTTGAGTGGAAATAGCCTACATACTTGAGACAACCACATTTTAAAGGAAGGTACCCGAGGAGATGACAACAATAAAAGTATACATTTCTTTGCCACGTGCGACGCTGTGGCGCAGTAGGTAGTGCTGTCGCCTAACAGCAAGAAGGTCGCTGGTCAGTTGGCGTTTCTGTATGCAGTTTGCATGTTCTCCCTGCATTCGCGTGGGTTTCCCTCGGGTGCTCCAACTTCCCCCACAGTTCAAAGACATGCGCTACAGGTGAATTGGGTAGGATGAATTGTCTGTAGTGTATGTGTGAATGAATGTGTGTGTGGATGTTGCCCAGAGATGGGTTGCGGCTGGAAGGGTATCCACTATGTAAAAACATGCTGGATAAGTTGGCGGTTCATTCCGCTGTGGTGACCCCGGATAAATAAAGGAACTAAGCTGACAAGAAAATGAATGAATGAATTTCTTTGCCACATAAAACGAGATTATAAACAAATGGTTGATGTGGGAGTCCAACAGTCTCTTTTTCAAAAAGACAGTATTTGATTAAGCAAACATGCACACAAAGGGCTCTGTTTTAATGATCTAGGGGCAAAGTCTAAAGTACATGATGCAAAAAGCATTAAGGTCAGGTCCGCATCCACTTTGGCTGAATTTGATCCACTGAATTTACGGAAGCGAGTTTTTGAACTGAAATAAAATAAACTGAAAATTGCTGTTTGACTTTTAAACATCGTATTTTTAAACTGAACTGAATATTTTGAAACTGAAACGTGGAAGTTAAAGATGAAGTATTGAATTTATAAGTATGAAAATGTATTGTTGTTGAAATATTCACAGCTCAAATAAACTTCATTCAAATAGTTGATAATTTCAGGACCCACAAATACAAACCAAATACTTGGCAAGTCAAGTCATTCAAACGCAAGCTCGTTATTTCAATGTAATCTTTGTTTTAGTTTGTGCAATTCCACGAGATATTTATTTTAATACTAACATTGGTTTTTTTCCATATTCAAGCCTTTAGCATTTATTATAAATTACATTTAAATTTCTAAGATTTTACACATGGTTTATCTTCTGATATTATTCATTGCAAAACATCTGAGTTAATTATATTGTGTGAAATGATTTTTTTTTTTATTCGTTCATGCATTCATTTTCCTTTCACTTAGTCTTTATTTCAGAGATTGCCACAGCGAAATGAACCGCCAACTTTTCCAGCATATGTTTTATGCAGCGGATGCCCTTCCGGCTGCAACCCAGTGCTGGGAAACACCCATAAACACTCATTCAGACATACATTCAAACACTACGGCCAGTTTAATTTCTTCAATTCACCTATAGAGCACGTCTTTGGACTGTGGGGGAAACCAGAGCACCTGGAGGAAACCCAACACTGGGAGAACATGCAAACTCCACACAGAAATTACAACTGACCCAGCAGGGACTCGAACCAGAGACGTTCTTGCTGTGAGGCAACAGTGCTAACTAACCACTGAGCCATTATGCTGCCCAACACATTAACAATCCAAATGAGTAAATGATGACAGAATTTTCATTTTTGGGTGAACAATCCCTTTAAGCTGCACTTTTAATGTGTTTTAAATTCACTTTTAAATTTAATTTTAAAAAGGATTTGAGCAACTGCACATTAATTTAGGTAATCCATGATGTGTGTGTGTGTGTGTGTTTGTGTGTGTGTGTGGTGGAAAAAGGCAGCATCTGTGTCTCTGTCACATGAAGCTGCATTGCCTGTTCTTTGTCTCATACTCACGTGTGTGAATTCACTCTCGCCTTTGGCCATGAACCACCAGTCCACCGTGGCGGAGGCAACCACTTCTCCTCTCATCTTGCAAGAGATGCAGGTCAGTTTGAAGCCTTTTCCCGCCACTGCCTCTGTGTCAGAGTCGACCTCCACACACGCTCCATAGCAGAGCCAAGCTGAGGAAAAACAACAGACCTTCAGAAACAGAAACGGTTGTACTGTATTTCTTAAAAACGCTCTAAGTCTTACTGATGTCCACTTTCTGTTTTTAGCTGACAGGCATTAACTCTTCTAGATCTTCTCTTCTTTTTTTGCGTGCGTTCCCTTTTTTATTATGATTAATTATTATGCATGCTGTCTTTTTTAGTTCAAGGCCGAGCGTTTTCTTGCAAGCTTTATTTCCACTCATATAAACTGTGCATTAAAATTGTCCAATTGAACTGTGCATTTTAATGTTTGGTTGTTTTGACTCCACAGAAAAATTCTTGAGGGGAAATAAACTGTTAGCAGTGAGCCGTGATCCTTTTATTGACTCAATATTTTCATATATAGATGCACGTTTCTATATATGCCAGGATATATGCCAGACACTTGCAGAAGGGAACACACCTGAGATTCCAGGTATCTTTCTCACACTTCACCCTGCAGTTTCCACAGAAGCATCTGCATCGATCTCAATCAATCACCTTTTTGCAAATCTGACCTCTGGAGAAGTGTTTATATGTGTGCAGTGAGATGAGGGACAGGAAACATCGCACACATCAATATATTACTATTACTACAGCCGTCCTGCTATTTTTTTTATGGATCTCTCTTTACTGTGTTAATCTGGAAAACAAGAGTTATCATTTGCTTTTGATGGCTAAGAGGAAAGGAAGGAAGGAAGGAATGAAGGAGGAAAGAGAAAACATTGGTGGCACACCAACTGGAAGACAAGAGAAGAAAACAAGAAAGAGAAAGGAGACAGAGTTAAATGTTTTTTTCCACATCACATCACTGATTATTAATGACAGATTATTGATTTACTGACTTCTGATTAGCTGTGGAGAAGAGGAAGAAAGGTATATTGGGAAGGAAAGCAAGTTGTTAGCACAGACATCTTACAAGAGGAATGGGATTACACACACTGAAACTCCTACAAAAGCAAATTACTTAAAGAAATCCAAATTACTGCCTAAACCTAATTTTCTGAGACTGAATTCTACACATATAAGTAAATACTCTAAAAATTAGCATGATTTCTTTCCACATTGCGAATGTTTGTATTTGCTCCACTATTTGTTTGATGTAAATGCATCAACGATAATAAAAAAACAGACGAATAATCAGCACAATATAATTGTAAACAAACACACTGCCTCTGTTCATGGTGGCTTAGTTAAAATTGCAGATTTAAATAAAACTTTGGGGGCTTTAGTATTAGTTTGGTCAAAAAGAGATTGTGTCAGACATGAAAAATGCCAGATAATACTCAATACACATTGTTTTGTGAGTTTATTAGCGGTCAGAACAAAGGACTCTTAATGATCTAAGCACAAAGTCTAAAGCACATGTCTCTAAAAGCATTAACGGAGTGTCCAAATCCACTTTTTCAATTTAAGAAATGGAAAAATACGGTCTGCACCCTGGCGCATGGTCTAACAGGGTTGTGCTTATTCTCTTAATGAGTAATGGGTGTGTTTTCAGCACAACGTGCATTAAACCAATCAGAGTCTCATCTCCCATTCCCTTTAAGAGTCAGTTGTGTGCAGCATTTGCTATTTACATGGCGGACTTTGTAAGTGGAAAAACTGAACGCTGCACTAGTGAGAACACTGTTAAACAGATTATCTGTAGCTCGAGTTATTCAATTTACATATTTAACTGAGTGGTTTCATTTGTGCATATATGACCACATTTGGTATGGTTTTGAGTATGCGGTTTGCAGTTTCTATCATTATAATTGAAGGAGAGATTCGTGTAAATACGAGAATGTTCATTCAGAGAATAGATGAGTGTAAGATCATTCATTTTCCTTTAGCTTTATCTCTGATTTTATCAGAGGTCGCCACAGTGGAATGAACCGCAAACTATTCCAGCATATGTTTTATGCAGTGGATACCTTTCCAGCCGCAACCCAATACTGGGAAACATCCATATACACTCACATTTAGGGGAGAACATGCAAAACTCACACCGAAATGCCAACTGACCCAGCCGGGACTGGAACCAGCAACCTTTTTGCTGCTATAGGCAACAGTGCTAACCACTGAGCCACCATTTATAAAGAGATAAATAGGTTTTTTATTTAATGCTGACTTAAAGTGAACATTTGGGGCTTTAAAACTAAATTCAAAATAAGCAGACTATCAAAGGACACCATATAGCGGGAGGGAAGGAGACGATGCTCTTAAAACAGAGGGACCGTATACTGTATGTGCACTACATGCTGACCTCAGACCTGTCAAAAAACTGCCATCTAAACTTCTGTCAATGTCACTGCGACGGCAGGGTCATTACATAACCCTTTTTACAGAGATTACATTATGCAACTTACTCCAGATTAGACTGCACAATGACCGCTTAATCCCAGGATTGAATTAATGCATTAAAGAGTTGAATTAAGCGCTTTATACCATTGGCTGAAATTTTGGCTAAACACTGTAAATCATGTAGTTCCTGGGAACTGAACTCATGACCTTCATGCTGTTTGCACCATGATCTGCAGAACCTCTGACAGAGTAGAAAAGGCCTTTTGGGAGCTGATTTAGGCTTTCGACATGAAAACAAGCTGCCGAGGACAACGTTTCCATGCCAGCCAGCCGTATGGCAGTGACATATACACTCTGGCCTCTCGGGGAAATGGCAAGATCTGTGACAAACAGTGGAGACTTTCCATAGAAACAAAGGCGCTTTAATACATCGGCCAATATGTGATATCATGTCCAGCATTTCAGTCCTGTCTAACAATCACCGCCGTTCACATCTCCTTAATCTAATCTCTAAAATTAATCTACAAAGGACGATATTGTTGGTCAAGGGTGAATGGTGAGCTTCACTGATATTTCCCCAGGCGATCAGATCTGAAGACAAAGCCTTTTCTTTCTGAGCTCCAAGAAACTTGTTTTTTTTTTGCAATACGTTGTTGATGATTGGATAACAAGGACACTCTCTATTATCCATTTTCCTCATGCAACTATCATTTCCTTAACCTCTCAATTAAATGGGTGTAAACTTTCAAGGTGCTATAAAATGAAAATCTGGATATACATGGGCATAGTTTAATAATAAGAGTTTAGTGCATGGAAATGACATACAGTGAGCCTTAAACACCATTGCTTCCTCATTCACCTGTAAATCCTGTTAGTGTGAAATCCTGGTGAAAAACAGGCCAATTAGAACAAAACAAATGTCTCGGATATTTGACAATGAATCATTAATATGTACACCCCCAGCAACATTTCCTGGTGAGATTACAATAATATCTTTTCCCGCTATTTTCTAATTTTAAAGGGCATCTTTTGTAAACGGTTTGGACAGAACTGTGTGTAGTTATAGTGTCCAAAGTCATATTGGGGTGATTTAAACACAATAAGTCTCTTTTTTATTTTTTTTTCCTGACGTTAAAAATAGGATCCAAATTTTGAGGATGACTGCAACGTGACGTAGGAGTGCGCCTACCTAATTGATTGACAGTCGTGTATTAACATGTCTTTATAGTAACACGTATACTCATATTAATAAGACATGCGCGCTATGTGTGTTTGTGTACGTGAACTTTGTAAGGACATTGTGTGTGACTCATCATTGTTGAAAGGATTGAACTAACTCCACAACAAATACATCAAATAATCATTGGGAAAGTTCTTGCAGTAGTATTCCTCACAAACGTTACGCGAGATCTGCTTCCTTAGCAGACCTTATGTCTGTCACTGTGCTGTTTATCTGACGCAGCCGAAGTGGAGATTGAGAGACATTCAATTTGCTCCAATATTCTTAAAGCTATTAATAAATAATCTGATTGTTAAACACATCTTACTGTGTTTTTTGAGCTGAAACTTTACAGACATATTCTGTAGAATCAAAAGATTTCTATCTTAAAAAGGTGGTAAAATAGGTGCCCTTTGCAACATCGTTGCTGTAAAAGAAGTAATATGGAATTAAAATGCTCACTGCTATTTTTTGCTGCTATGTGAGCATCAGAGACTAACACGAGCACCAAGAGCATCATGACACATCTCATTAATATTCATGACCCTTCCAAATAAGGTCAAAACAAAACATTTTCTCTTTCAGGTCAATTCCTAGGGTTGTAAGTTACGTGTAAAATTGTTTCTGGAGTATTTAGGTACCATCTACACTGTAAAAAAAATTGGGTTCCACACAATCCCTTAATGTTGTCTCAACACAAATTAAACTAACTTAATTGTTTTTGCAAATTTAAGGGAATTTAACAAAACAATTAAGTTGATCTAAAAAAAAACTCAAGAATTGTGTTTCAGCTCATTTTTAATAAGTAGTTACAACAACTAATTTAAAATGATCAGAATCGACACAATTCTTGAGGTTTTTTGTACAACTTAATTGTTTTATGTTCAATCCAATTTACTGAGTGTATGTAAACATCAGAGAACAATTTAAATCAATTACATCAACGCTTATTATGGCACCTTTAAATATTAAACCAGTGCGAGTCATTGTTCATCATACAGTATGTTCGCCTGTAAAGATTTAGCGTTCACACTCTCCCTCTTCCTCCCCCATCATCTCATCCTCTTTCCGACTTGCTCATGTGTGCTTTCAGACACACCTTTTCTCAGATGCACATCGGTTTTCCACAACACCAGACCTGTGCATGTACAAAACCTGCGTCACAGCTTTCTAAGGGAGCATGACAGTGCTGGATTCTGCTGAAATCTGCTTAGGATATAAAGACCTCACTCCTCATTGGTTTGCTTGTTTCTAGGCCTCGGTTTCCAGCCTTTGTTAAATGATTAATAGCCATCTTCCTTCTCCCTTCAGCTTTTCTCGGCTCTACACATTGGTCTAATCAGCAAAACAGCCTTCCTGCCTGTTAATGCGCAGAGCTGCTTTCTTGACAGTTTGCCAGTAGATCCATTATAGATTGGTTGATCAGCTATATGCTTATTAAATCATATTTACAAAACATTTGGCATTTTTTAAAATCATATGCAGTTAAGAGTAGTGTTATATTAATGTTTCAGTAATCTGTAATCTTTGATGACCTTATTAGAATCATTCATTCATTCATTCATTTTCCTTCGGCTTAGTCTTTTTATTTATCAGGGGTAGCCACAGTGGAATGCCCATTCAGCTGCAACCCAGTACTGAGAAACACCCATATACTCTCGCATTCACACAAATACACTGCGGCCAATTTAGACTATTCAATTCACTTAAAGCGCATGTCTTTGGACATCAACATGGGGAGAACATGCAAACTCCACCCAAAATTGCCAACTGGACCAGCTAGGACTCAATCCAGCGACCTTCTTGCTGTGAGGCGACAGTGCTAACCATTGAGCCACCGTTTCGCCCTTATGTTAAGTTAACAAAAACTGTTAAGTTATGCTATTTTTTTGATTTGACTGTAATTGTTTTAAATTCTTTGCTGTGCTTTATGGAATTGTAGTTTTTAAAACCACTTTTAAAACCATTGTTAGTACACAGCCTTGAACCTTTGTCCTTTGTCATGTTCTTTATAT